CAGTGCACTAGGAATACAAGAATAAGGCTGCAATGCGGGTCAATGCCATACTACTCGCTCCTGGGCAAACAGATGGTTACCGCGAACTAGCAAGTGCATTTGCACTAGCACAAGCTAGCATCGAGGTAAGTACTTTCCATTCACTCTAAGAATACATAACTGACACAGTGCACTAGGAATACAAGAATAAGGCTGCAATGCGGGTCAGTGTCATACTACTCGCTCCATGACTTCTGATGACTGAGGCCGCAGGCGGGCGCCTACCCAGCATCACTAGGGTCTTTTTAGCTTGGTTCTTCATGGATGGATCAGGTCAACAGAGGAGTCTCTTTGACTTGCATCATCGACGAATAACCAACCAAGAAGCACGGCGTCTTTCCAACCTACTAGCACCCAACTATTGCGATACCTTTGAATATATCATTCAATGGCACTATATACCTATTCACCCCTGCCCAAGACCATATTCATACAGGCCAAATTATGATGTTCACAATCCGACTCTTGGGCGACCTGAGTTAATCGGCACTCAGACGACTGAAGGGAGGGTAGTACGAATCCTCGCAAATCTCCAACATTCTGTACAGTACTTCCAAAGTAAGATGGAAGAACATGTAAGATAGGTATTATTGCCGTCCTCGAAAACCAGTGATACGTGAGAAATGAACGGGCAAGTAAGTATTCGGCAGTGTGTGAAGGGAACACCTGTGACACTGCATCATGCATAAACTGTTTTAACTGGAAAAAGGAGAGAAAACATAAAGAAGATATCTCACAAAAGATAGAAATATTGAGCATGAGGATGCCTTGGAAATAGGCAAATCATAATAGGAGCCACATAAACGATTGGTCATAGCTTAAGCTCAGTAAGAACTCTCCTGGCGAGCATTTGGTATTGCCAGCCATCGCCACCAGCCCTTCGGAACTGTATACCGTGGAGTGGCAGCCAAGGAACCTAGCGAAAAGTCTGTGAGATGTTCGAGACGATGACAAGGAGGAATATCATACCTTAATAATGTTAATTTCGAAACGGACTGATAGTGAACTGGCACCAATAGATTCGAATACTTCACGATCGACTTCACCGGTAGGGAAAGGTGCCGGCCGGGGAGTGTGCGGCTGCGGCGTAGCAGCGAAGTCACGGGGTATGGGCGGTAAGACCTTGCCTTTTACCGGTGTTTGCGAGCGGAACGGATCACGTTGTTCTTCATGAGGTGTCCCTGGCACGAGTACGTTGGCTTCCTGATGCCGAGGATTATCTGGTATAATGGTGTGGGTATTAGAGGAGACATTGAAGAATGAAGATGATCCGCTGCTGGGGGTGGCGCTTAGTGCAGTCCCAATCGATGGCCTGTGAGGGAGCTCTTTCTCTAAGGGAGCTTCCTGTTCTTTTTCCTTCATACTCTCCCTTTCCTTCTCCCGCTCCTTAGACTTCATCCCGAAAGACATCTTCGACGCTTTCTTCACAAGCGATCGAGGTGTAATTCCAGTTTCGTTGGAACCACTAGAAGCAGTCCTGCGGTGATGACTAGAGCGTCCTTGGACCTGAGTTGGTTCGGGGACAGACGAAATATCGATGGAGGGAACATGGATGCACTCAAAGCCGCACCGTGTCTCTCGATATTGAACTTGCATTCGGTCCAAAACTTTCTTGATATCAGCCTTGAGCACTGATGGGGATTTTGTAGAAGTGGTCGCAACGCTGTCGCACATTTCAGCACTGTCCAAATAACTACGCGAATCGCGCTCACCTGAATAGCCCCTTGAGATGCACAGGTTTGAAATCCTTATCGCTCTGATGTCCACTCTGCTCATCCTTGAAGCCATCGTCCTGATCAGCTGCCTCCTGTTCAGCATTCTCCTCCACCTTCTCAGTGTGTCTGAAACCACTCAAGCCAGTTGGACGCCCGCTGCTTGTCCCATAACCAGTCGACGGCCGACGATGCCGTCCGATGGTGCCACCGATACTAGGAAGCAAAGCTCCACCAGTGCTACTCCGGCGTTCGTGCCGTATCTGACGACCTTGGGGATCAAGGATGGTGGCAGCTCGCCTGTGCACGTTCCCAAGAGGCTGGCTCTGGCTAGCAGTGATAGGTTGAGGCGCAACGATGGAGGATCTGTATACATCGGCATCTGCGCCACGTTTCCAAGACGATTCAGCAGTCTTCTCGCCATCATCTCCCGACGATCGCAATGAGGCACCACCCAACATTGTCGCCCGCTTACCAGTACTTCGTTTATTATCATCACCCTTCCCAACAAGAAGCGTGCCAAACCTGCGCACGAGCGTTGCGCCAGCAGACAATGGACCATCATGTGTATGTGCACGATCCCCGCTGGATAGAACTTTATCCTGGTCCGAAAATTCGCCCTCCAGACCAGCCGACTGAGAGCCCTGCTCCTCACCCTGTTCATCTACACGACTTTCGCCACTAACAAACCCTCCACCCCATCCGCGCAGCGCATTTGGTCGTTGGCTCATGCTGTGGCTGCGGCGGTGAGTGGACGCAGGTGGAGCACGCGGAAGTGCTGTCGCCGGCCCTGGTGCTGGCACGGGTGGTTGGGAAATTTCGACGCGCTTCGTGGCAGGTGGAGGCAGCCCGGAGTCACGCGCTCTCACTTGCCCATGGAATGCAGCAGAGGTCGGGGAGGCTGCTGCTGATGCTGCATCGTAGGACATGTCGGAGTAGTGCGACGTCTCGGGCGCAGGAAGACGCGGGAGAGGCATACCGTAGTCTGCTTTACCAGATGCAGGGGTGGCAAGTTGCTGTTGCTCCTTCTTCGTAGGAGCAGGTTGAGTGAAGGTATTAGTCGGGTAGGGAGGAGGTGCAGAACTAGCGTCAGCGGCAGATGCATTGGCTGCGGTGGCTGATTGAACGGAGAGCTGGGAGCTAGCAAAGCGCCCTGGGCCATAGACGCGTTCACGCTCCAACTTCTCGCGGGAAAGGTAATACATTGTGACCAGTGGATGGAATCCCTGCGTCGGGTCGAGAGGTTCGCGCGCACCATCGCCAACTGACAGAAGCGACTGAGAGGTGGGAGGCGAGTGAGAAGGAGTGGTGGGTGGCGATGAGGAAGGGGAAAACAGCTTCCGGCGATAAAAGTCGAACCCGGAAAAACGTTTCGACTTCTTCGAGGGACTCATCGTAGACTCACTCTTGTACGCGTTTGTGGCCGATCCATCGAAGGATATGGCAAGGGAGGAGTTAGAGAACTCGAGACGGTTATTTGCGCCATTGCGACCACCACGCTTGCGTTCCCATGCCTGGACCGCACGGACATAAGCGTCAGATTCGAGTACCTTTCGAAGATTTCGTTCGATTTCCTCATCGGTCCCAAATTCGAAGCCTTTCATACCTTTGATGACTTGTTTATCAAGGTCATCAGGTCGGAGAGGTTCCCGATGTACCATGTGCGAGTCGGGGGGACCACTGAAGCCACGAGTCATCCATGAATGCTCAAGTACCTCGGTCAGCGAGGCACGCATAGCAGGGTTAGTGACAAGCATTCGGGACAGTAAGTGCTTGCATTCTGGAATATCGATCAGTGAGTAACGTGCTTCACAACACAATTTGGACGTACCTGCACTTAACCACACAGGATACTCGACTAGCCCGCGCTTAATTTTGGCATGCAGTGCTGGCATGCTCTGATCGTCAAAAGGCACTTTGCCGCATACGAGCACATATAGGACAACTCCAAAACTCCATACATCAACTTCTGGTCCAATGTAGACCTTGGCATTAAGGAGCTCGGGAGCCGCAAAGTATAGGGAACCACAAAAGGTCGACAGAGTGGAACAAGGGTCGTAGAGATTAGACAGGCCAAAGTCGATGATCTTGATGTTTCCTGTTTCAGATATAAGGATGTTCTCGATTTTGAGATCTGCGGTTAGACAATGAGAATGTGAGACAATCTAGATATAGCAACCGCAGACCTCGATGGACCACATTGTTTCGATGACAGTAATCTAGCGCACTTCCTATTTGACGAGCGAACTTGCGAGCGACACGTTCCCGCAACCGACCGTGACTGATAATGTAGTCGAGCATCTGGCCACCGTTGACATATTCGAATACCATGTAATAATGATGTTGATGGACAATCATCTCACGCATACCACAGATGTATGGATGATGGAGAAGCATAGATAGAGCAGCTTCACGGAGAGTGCGTATCTCTTTGGAAGCATCTTTTGAGGCCTGCTTTGCGACTGCTTCTGGAGTTGCATTTGAACCGTTTGGCTGGGAAGCCTGCGGATACACTCGGGGAAGGATTTTGACGGCGAGCTACGAACAAGAACCGGGCGTTCGAAAGGTAATTCATGTTTGATATGAATACAGCACATACCTTCTCTTCCGTGACATTGTGAATAGCCAACTTGACCTTCCCCATGCTCCCAGCTCCCAGTGTCTTGGTCAGGGTGTAGTCACCAAGAATGCGGTGTGAGCTTCGACCTTGTTTGCTGGTTGAACCATCTCTGATTTGACGGTGTTTTGAGTCTGTAGTCTGCTGTCTTTCGCGGTCTGATGAACTTGACATTGGAGTTGTGGTACTAAATGCCTGCGGAGGCATTGAAACTGGGCGGGGCCTGTGAGACGTAGCCTGCGTCCTTGGGGAGGGTAAAGGGCGTGGAATAGCAGTATTTTGCTTCGTGGTCGCCGTCGTGAAGGTTGTTGTAGCTGTTGTTAACGGCGTCAAAGTATGTGACCTTGCTGGTGGAGGTGATGAAAGAAGCTGTGGCTGATGAGCCGAGGGCGGTTGCGTGATGGCCATATCAAACTCATAACCTCCTGCGTGCGACGGCGTAACCAAACCAGTTTCTTCAGGCACCTGTCCTAGCGGCCCTGCCATAGATGACGGGTAGAACGCTGCCATGAACGTCTCCAACAGTTAACGTCAGGCTATCTATCACTTTCAAAGGCAGTGCTCACGATTCAGGCTAGTCAGTAAAACCGCCTCCAAGTTTTAAAATCGCTAGTCAGGGCGGTCTGCAAGCGTCTATGTTCGCAAACGGAGATTTGCTCCCAGTCGATAATTTCTCCTAATTTTCTCATGTATGTCTCATCTCGCTAGTTTAGAGTTCTAGTGCCAAGAATCCCCTGAGTCTTACTCGGGTGACAATGGTCAAGGCTGTATGATACTTTGCTTGTTTTCGAACAGAGGTAACGATGCCAACCCCACTGCCCCGACGACACCCCGCATGTATGTGAGGAAGCAAGAATAAAAATTGCTACAACAAGCTTACCTAGCTAGAACTCTCAGGCTGTCGAAACGCACATTAATAACTCAGCAATAATAGATTATCAGAAGCAGGAGAAGTCCTGCGTGTGCTGCAGGCTCGGAGGTAAGGATATCAAAATAAAAACCGAGTGTTACTTCTGACTGTGTTCTTGTACAGACAACCATGTCACTGGATGATGATTGAACATGGGCCAAGGAGGCAGGACAACCTGTAGCAAAGGTGTGAATTGACTAGGTCACGGTACACAAATGTGAAACAAACCCACCAGAGCCAGCGCCACAGTACAGAGTGCAAACGTACTGATTGTTATCATGAGAGAGCTGAAGGCAAACCCAATGATAAAAGAGAGGAACTGCCAGAAGAGATCTGATTGACTAAACGCAGCGGCAGTGAAGGGACACGTACTGTGCTGGTGATGAGTACCACGCGAACAACATCATCCGCCGTCTTTTGCCCTTTGAAGTCCTAAATTTTGTATGGTCAGCTCCATCCCAAAGAACCAAAAGAGCACACCCGCTATTCTGCCTTCCACTAGCTCCTGTATGGTCATGACTGTTGTTAAACTAGAAAGCTCAATAATGCCTATGGATTTGACACGACATGCGTGTGAATGTGCTGCCCATCTCGACAGGACCCCGTAATAGACCAACGCACATAAGTACTACTATGTCCGCTGCAGCACATGCCAGCCCCGGATCATGCAGGTAAAACTATCACGCTCCCTCAAGTCCCCTAAGCCTTTTGAAACATATACGGCTCAAAGGATCAACCACCTCTGCATACCCGGAACTTGTTTACCCTATTCCGCGCAACATTATATAAGCTTTTAAACCTTAATATACAGCCACTTCAGCAGATCGTTCTGAGTTCCTCGATAATGGCATCAGAAATTGGTATGATCATCTTCCGAGTACTGATAAAAAAAGTCATTTTATATAATCTGGATGGCTGAATCGATGTAAGACGCGCTGCTTGCTACATTCAGTATTTTGGATGTTATCATGTGACCAATATCAATTATATGCGCGTCATACTAGATTCACTATATAATGGTATTCATAGACTTTCAGATCACCAAGTTTCGATATCAGACGGTCTTAATGACTGTGACTCGAACGGCACAAGTTCGAGGGACTTAAATTTCCGGTCTCATCGTCGCCAGCTCCGCGTTCTGAAATGTAAATTCTCATCCGAAGCCTGTTCGAGTCAGATACGGCCGCGGCCTACTCATAACATAGCTACAGTGATAAAAGTACATCGCCGCTCGCGCTACTTATTAGCCACAAGTATGTTTATATATATATGAGTCGGGTGTAACTGATATTCTGTCCGATCGCAGATCGCCGTCTATTGAGTACTGTACGAAACAAAAGAAATTGAAATTCCACGACGATTCGCCGGCCTTGGGCAAAACAATCATGCTCCTTTTCACTTGAGCGACTTCAGGTCACTTTGGCCCGAATTTGAATTGTCATCGTCTGATTTTTCTGCGTCCTCGCTTGAGCGTGTTTTCTTGCCGATGATACCCAGGTCTCTCAACCCAACGATAACGATGACCATGCTCAAAAGTGTCGATGCAAAACAAGTCCACCCAGCTGCTCGGAAACCGACCATCAAGACTTCTGGCGACTGGGCATCAAGTTCCGGATGCTTGTTGTTGTATGCTTTGGACACGGAATCCGCGATTTCAGACGTGACTGCGAGTCCGAGTGCTGTAGCAAGCTGCTCACAAAGAGGCTCAGCGAGACAAAATTAGGGAGGATAAAATTCCGTACTCTTGTAGAAACGCTGAAAATGCTACCTGCGAGGGATTGCGAGTCTTCATCGAGCGATACAGTAATTTGCTGGTTCCCTATTGAATATACGATATCTACCCCAGCTGCAGCAATATCAGTCTCTCTTCGCTTAGAGAAGAAATAACACACCAATGGTAATCATCATAAAAAATGCCATAGACCAGAAGCTGAGATCAGGGTTTATCAAGGCGAAGATCACGCTTGACGCCTTCCCAAGATTGAACATCTGTTCTTAGTTGAGGCTGAGTCACTTACTAAGCTGACGAGCAAACCGATCAACATCAAGATCTGTGCAGGGATCCGGGCGACATAATATCCCGCTGCGATGCTAGGAAGTGCTCCAGCGATAGCCATGGGTATGAACCGAAGAGAGGTTTGCAATGAATTCAGCAATTGTACCTGTTGGAAGCTGAAGACCATCGGTGGTCAACGGAGACCAATTGATCAAAATAGACTAGCATACTATAGTGTGAAGAAATAGCTCAGAGTATCGAAGCTGAACCTGCAAGAAATATGAGTGACTAGGAGACCGATCCCCAAGAAGTACACGTACCAACCAAAAAATACTACGCCAACGAGGGGACCCAATTTTGCTCCAGGCTGCCTCCATATACTCAGAGGCATGAGAACAGACATGTTTTTTGATTCCCTCCAGTGCTCGAAGAAGATGAATGCGACCAGAAAAACGATGGACACGAGGAATAGGCTAAGTACCTGGGGAGCCAACCAACCCTTTTGAGCAGTTGTGGAGTCACTCGAATTCAGTTCAGTAACTCCTGCCGTGAAATCCAAAGCGTGTCCTTACGAGAGACTGAATGTCAGAAGGCCAAGGCCAGTTGTGCTTAGCACAGCGCCACCCCAGTCTAAACCTTTGTCATAACGCCGATTTGAGTGATCTTTTGGAAATACCAAGAGAGCAAGACAAACGAAAAAAACAGCAAGGCCTGCTTGAATGTAGAACAATGAACGCCATGTGGCACGACTTTCAGTCAAAAGACCGCCTTCAAAGCTGAATGAGTTGTCCATCGGAAACGTTACCAGAAAAAACTTACTAGTAATAAGGCCCAAAATAAATCCCACTGGTGATCCAACGCCTAGTGCACTGAAGGCTTTGTTCCTATTGGCTCCTGGTGGGAAGTATGACGAACATAATCCAATCGCAGCGGGAGTGTTGGCAGCCGATCCCATTCCCAAGAGCGCCATATATACGATGAAAACATTTGAACTTGGAACGAAGGCCGTTGCAAGACTCCTGGTGTGATTTTCTTGGGTCAACAATTCGAGCACTTGAATTTGACTACTGACCAAATCGCGAACCATAGAGACCCGACTAGGAACATGAAGCGGCCTCCAAATATGTCCCCCAGTCTTCCACAGAATAAAATCAAACCGCCGAATGTCAAACTATTCAACAAGGTCAGTGTCTAGTAGGTATGTCGCAATTATGGTAGAGACGTACGAATTCACATTAATCGGCCAGTAAAGGTTACCCTAGACACATGCATATTGTGTTTAGAGTAGTATGTGCGGAGTAGCAAACAAACCTCTTGGAAATTAAGGTCTCTTCCAATAGTGGGAAGCGCAATTGTGACAGCGCCGAGGAGGAAAACCTGCATTCCACATCGAGCTCATGAGTTATTAAGACTTCAAAAAAAAGCTTTCATACTTACATTCAGAGTTGTGACACCACAAAGGGCAGTGATAAATGCAATATCCCGTGCACTCAAGCCCATGATCTAGCACTCAAAGTCAAGTTGTAGAGGACGACTGTGGAATTATTTTGTTTAGGCCTTACACCATCACATAGATATCTACCTTTTAGTGTCAGCATCTAGTAAGTCGCACACCCTACCTAGCTTGTTCCGCGTGGATCCTGAAACTCCATCATTTGATGATGGATCTTCCATGATATAAGGAGATCGGTATTACCGGTATTTGCGCTGGTAGGTTGGCCATTTTCATTAGTCAAATTGGTGGAGATACAGTGAATGTCAGGAGGTTATGTATCGGCGCATGTTTCAGACTCCAAACCAGGTAACGGCGCTTGGCCGCACCAACTCCTTGCTAAATCACCCTTCTTGCAAGACCAGAAATAGTGGTTGACGTATGTCTTGAGGGAACTCACCATAAGTCGAGCGCTTGTTTGTGCGTTGCATGTACTGGATGATGCAGATGATAATCCTAATGATAATCAGCTTCTGGCATGATGACAGGTGCCTCCTACTGCGAGCTACTTCAAGTTATTCTCCAAACAAGCACCGGTTGCCAATTGCAGTCGGCCGTTCTGGATCACTGTATTCTATGAGCAGCCAAATTGAATGGCTGCCCCTTTGAATACTATGAAACATGCAATAGCCGTGCTGTGCAAGCGCTGTAAATATGCTTTTGGTTTATCCGTATACAAAGTGCGAGGAGCGGCCCCCTTGAGTCACTCTTCCACAGCACCTGGTAATCAATCTTACCTGTTAAAATCGGTCTTTTTCCGGCTAGGGCTTCGAGATGTGTCATCGCATTGACAATTCGTCATATGGGTGCAGCGCAGTTGGACTCACCTTATTACAAGCAACATTATAAACGCCGCGTAGCCGCACCAGAAGCTATTTCAGGATCCAGGCATCCATGGTATTATCGAGGAGCAACTCCCTTTAACTTTGGTTCGTTCAGGTAGTGCTGATGATTTAATCAGTCTGTGTAAAATTGCAAATAATGTTAGAGGTGGTGATTGCATTAACTTTTGATTCTCACTGGCTGAGAACACCAACAAATTACATAATAAAGTCAGCTGAAGTGACAAAGCCTGGGATCGGTATAGCCGATTTTACTCACTCAATTTCTTTAAGGTCAGTTCTAATCCGGTCGCTAACCTCTCGTCGCTCCTTTGAATTCAAACTATGGCCGATGTCACCGTACTCGTTTCACCGACTCCACTCTATCCAAGACCTCAGTCTGCACTCGGTTTCAGCCTGAATCTTGCTCGACGCAGCCAGCCTGAATTAGCATCACCAGTAATGGTCACTCTTGAGACAGCAGACCCTTCGACAGCACCTTCTTCGCCCGTCGAAGTACGAACCTTTGACGAAGCTTTGCTTTTACCGCCAAAGCGTTCATTCAGAGGCCACCGGAACCAGTCAAGTATCTCCAGTTCGCAGTCTGCCCCGCCCAAACAGGTTTCTCTCTCTGAACCTCTCAAGGCTCCCACACGACGCGTATCCTCTACGTTTTCAGCTACATCTACGCACACGCGTGAGCTCCCGCGACCAGCACCTCCTCTCTGTGAGTCTTCTCTTCCTGTATATCTATTTTATGATATCAATCCTTATCGTATAGTTCGCCCAAGGACTTTTTGGCGCAAAACAAAGCGTTCAGGTGTCACTGGTGCATCCTATTCTCCCGCTTCCCATCTGGTTCGACGGGCCACCTTTGTTGCTGCTGGCCTTTCCCTTGACACACCTGCCGCTGACCTCAGTGCCCTTGGTGTAGAAAGTCGCGTCTCGGTTCTTGTCCTCGGCCCCGATCATATATTGCAATTGTATCCCAGCGTTGGCTGGTGAGTGTGCAGAATGGGAAATGAACATACCGCAAAACCGAACGGAGGTGGAACTTTGACTCATTGGAATATTAATTATGCGTTTGCATATAAACGGCAGGACAACGGTCTTACCTCATCGTCGTATCCCGCTTCATCTACAGCTCCGAATTCAGCCCCTACAGACAGCCCTACCGATGTCGTTGCCTCCGCTTCCACAGCGGCAAACGCAAATATAGCTACCGTTATTTCCATCACCGCCCTCCCTCCTCTAGATACGACTCTGCCTCACAATGTCACAAAAGTTTCCTACCACCAGCACCTTGATGTCATTTTTCTAGCGCCGCTCTTTGCAGTGTTAGGTATTTTACTTGGGGTGGGAGCCATGAGTCTGTGGTGGAGGCTCAGACGACTCGGTGATGCAGGTTCTGGCGTGTGTGGACTAGGCGGCAGGAATACTGGCGGCGGGAGTAGGATTAGTCTTGAACCTGGTCCTGCTTATGCACCCGCTCCCGCTGATGAGGGCGATGGCGGTATTGACTTTGCGGAAGGCCCTGGGCCATACTCGACTCGCAATGGGAGCACAGAAGAAGTTGCGCTCTTTGCAGCAGGCACACCCAGTAAAACAACGGTACATGGCACGCGGTACCTCTTCCCCACGCATATGCGCGATCAAGCCACCATCGGTGGTACTGTGACCAAACCTCTTTGTACACCATTCCTTGTAGGTGCAAGTCAGTTCGACTCAGCTGGGACTGGGACTGGGACTGGGACTGGGGACTCTGATCATGGCGACCCATTCACGTGGGCGCATAATGCTTCTTCTTCTCGTGCATATGATGCAGAAAGGGCAGAAGCAGATCATTCTCGACGCAGCATGTTTCAGAGAATCTTGAATCGCTCGACCTCATTTAATGGCAGACAATATTCTGCGGTCAGGACGCGCGACCTCTCCCCAAGTAAACACCACTTCAACTCAATCCCCACTTTAGCTCTAAACGTCGACCTTGCAAACACTACGACTTCCCATGGGGGAAGGAGCAGCGCGGTGGATGTTCCACTGCGCTCGTTTGAGGGTGGCGCAGGAAGCGAGGTACAGCGGCCTGTGAGGGCGTGGTTGGAAACTCCTGAAAGGACTGTTCAGACTCCTGAGGGCACGAGATATGGGAACGGCAGATCCGACAAATGCAAGGTCACTGGCGACCAGCATCCTGATTATGCACCAATGACGGAAACCCCACGAACCCCAGTCTCGAAAGTCAGTCAATTTTGGACGCCTCGTTGGAAAAACAAAGTTCTACCGCTGCTCTCATCTCAATCCCCGGCTAAACCTTCTCCATTTCCACCGTGCATTGTACCATCTCCTTCACAATCTCCATCACCGATGCCGCGACATGCTGTATCCATTTCGACGCATGAAAGATCATCTAAAGAGCGCAAGCAGCAGGATCTCTTTGAGAAGAGAACGGAATCTGGCCCCAAATTGCAGGAGCGAAACACCTCAATTCCGCAAATCGACTCTTCCGTTCTCCCACGTAACCCCCCGCTCCTGATGTCTCCGCCCCTCGAGGCTGCACTACTCTTCACTTCTACATCATGTGGCACGCTCAGTTTCGCCACGCTTGCGAATTTAAGCCCGAAATTGGTCTCGCGTTCTCCACCAACGTCCAAAGCAAAGGTTTTCGCAGGGGCTTTTGATGGCCCTTTGATCTCGAAGCCCAAGGCGAAGGCTAACCTAGGATCGCCCAAAATCTTGAACATAAATCAGAGTGCACATGTTACTTCTCCTGATATTTCGCTCTTCCCGCTTCCTTCCTCCGCAAAGAAACTCAAGAAGCGTAAGAGTCAAAGTAGATCCAGGAAAGGGAAGCAGCAAGTGACGAATAAATGGACTGAGACTTCACCGATGCTCCCGCTCCCTTCATATCCTGACCACCTCGTGTATGCAGGACTGAAGACCTCTGTTTCAATGACTCTCGCTTCGAGCCCCTCTCAACCCACGATTTCGCCCACACCCACTATGCTCGCGATTCTTGCTGCGACCCAGAGCTTGGAGCGCGTAAATGAGATCTTGATGCGAGGTTATAGTGAACGGGCGCTTGGCGGTGGGGACATGGGCGGCGATGAGAGGGTGTTGAGAGAGAGTATTGTCGTTGCGGGTATCGAGGAGAGCTCATGACATGGACGATATATATAGGATGTATGAATTGTATCTATTTTTGTGTTCTTTGTTCAATCTCCTGCAGTCGACTCCGCATCTAGCAGCTTCTATGCCGACCTGTGGAAAGGTGAGTGATTTTTACGTGCCAGCACTGGTGGCATTTGACGAAGTGAAGAAGGTCACAGTCGTTCTAGCTATGCGGGGGCCAAACCCAGTGAACTCCGAAAGCACGAAGCTTGGCACTGCAAGCGTCCACTTATTTTCCACACGATCGTATTGACTCTGCGATTTTTCTTTCCCCGGTGAAAACCACATATGCGTAATACTGCCGATATTGATCGTCTACATGGGACTTGACATGTAGGTTTTGCGCTAATTCTGCTGGTCCTCGTGGTAAGTACAAATGGTTTATCTACCAAACTGACTTCAATCAGGTTCTCGGCCTACTAAATAATCTCACGTTTATCGGTCTTGATTCCTTCAACGACGATGACAGCGCGCCCTCCTGTACGTGTTATCATGCTAAATTTTCTTCTGAAATATACATCATAGGTAACACGATTGATTCGTTGGTGATGTGTATTGCGCAGAGCCACAAATAAGACCAGACCTTCCAATCATTGAAGCGCTATTCGCGTGTGAGTCTGTCGCTCATCATGTTAATTCCTTTTATGGGGAGCAAGATGGCGAAGGCCGGACTCGCCTTGGGGCTGCTTCCCGCAGGACCTTTACTCATGCATTACAGGACCGAAGATATAGATGGCTAGACCAGGACATTTGAAAGTGACGACGAACGAAACGTACGGTATCGACAGGAGTCTCCCGAGCATGAACTTCTTCTACACAGCACAGTTAGGGTATAACCAGTCACTGGGGCTGCGGCAATTGTACTTACGTCATAGTATAATATTTATAGTTGCACCTCGATACTGCCGCAAGTTCCGGTAGTAATCTTATATCTGCCTGCCATTTAAAGATCAGCAATCAATCTTCAATTGCCAGCGCTCTCCTTTCCTGATCTCCCCCACATACTATGTCACAGCTGCCCTAGACCGAGTTGTAGTGTGCCAGTCACAAATTGGTACTTGTGGATGGTGGATGACAGGCCCGATAATCGCTACCTCATCTATTCCCTCAGCTGTATTGCTTACTGTCAACGCACTGATGGCGCCAAAATGTTTCAGGGAATTCTTTCATTCTATTACAGACATTCGACCTCTTCAGCCGAAGCTGCCGTATGTGTTGGCTGCAATGTAGAACGAAGCAATGGCTCCGCTCAGGCTAGGCAATCATCAGAAACTATCTCTCCGTCTCCCTCATCGAAAGAAACCATACACTTCTTCTCAGTTCAGACGATGCAGTAAGACTTCTCGGCAATAAACCTGGACGCTACAAGAAGCTCTGTACACTCAAGAATCATACAAAGATCAATCACATGCACGTACCATTACTGCGGAGTTGCGATGTTAGGATCGTCACATTTGCGATTGTCAAGGCTGTTTGTGCGGATTATTCACCGGAATGCAGAAGACGATGGATGAGCTCACGCAGGGAAAATAGTGCTGCGCAGCTGGATCAGCACAGGTAGGCTATTCTTATCATAGTCCTCCTTTATTGATGGTAATGTCTTTTCAGAGTCGACAAGAAGGGTTCGCGGAAGGACTTTCCTTAGAGTCTCCGATAATTGATCTTTCGGCAGCAAGCTGCAGATGAAGTAGCCCACTTATACTCGGCCAATAATACTGGTTCGCCGAGTACAAGCGGACTACTTATTCTCAGCAATATGTTCTTCTTTCTTTGTCAATTAGCAGCGAACCGCAGACGAGCAAGCACGAGTTGGCAATTTTCGGGTATATATATTCAATTGTTGATGACGCCTGTCTTGTAGGAAACTTCGCGCAAGGTTTGCTTGCGGCCTTGGAGGGTAAACTTCTATTCGATTCAGAATGCCTTGCAGCCTTGCTTGAGTTCCTTCACGTTCCTTCATTCTTTACCTTCGTTTACATGGATCGTGCTTTTGCTTCGCAGTTCGCCCTTTGTAACAAGTATGGTAACCTGGTTCCGCAACATCTAAATCTGATTTATAGACTAATCATATCGACATTGGCCGCAGCGAATTAGTCTGCGAGTGACGAGAATGCTTGTACTTGAAGGATGCAGTGGGAACTCGTTCATGTAGATAGATAGATACAACATGCCAGCTAATCATGGAGTTACGCTCGACGCAATCCTACACCGCAATGTGATTGACGGAGGAGGATAAGAGAAGAGCAAATACTATCAACGGGTGGGGATGCTTGTTGAAGATGCGGCACGGAACTCGTATAAGTATGAGGCTGCCTTAGCTCCTGCAAGTCATGCTTCATGGTATCGTTCGTAGTGCACCTTCAAGTCTCGCTAGATTCAAGCAACCAACATCACAATTAACCGGTCAGTCTTGCTGCTAAGAATTCGACGCTTACCTAGCAACAATCCCTAGTCCTGCCTATTTAGCTCTTGTAACAGGTCTACTTCCACCATCCCAACAGAACGAAGAACATCTTCTCTTGGATCATCCAACTCATTCATGAGGTCTTTGAGCACGCGGAGACGGTTTGTCAGCCAGATGATCTGGAGAACGCCAGCACTCTCTATGGGCATCCTGTTTTTCCGCCGATATAATATGTCCCCTGACATGCAGATCGAGAGTATCAACATGGTCAACGAAGCGGTCAATGCAACTGCTAACTGTATCTCTCAGTAAAGCCTTGTCAAGTTAGTTTGCAATAGGGGTCTTACAGGCCGCGCATTAGTCTGAAACATAGGTCGGCAAGATTGAATACTTTGTATGATGAGTACCTACGTTGAGACGCCATTTTATAACCTGCCGAGAAACGACAGTGCTGCCTGGTGTTGGGTCAAAGCCACCAGCATCGGAGCCGAGCTTTGCACCTGTATCGTTTTTCAAGTCTGGTACACACGAAAGTAAAACACTTTACCTGTCCACAACAATGATGCGAAGATTTTGGAGAGACTAGATTCGAATTTGTGGCGACTACAGAGAACCTTCTTTGGACCAGATGGTGGTGGTGGCCTGGAGGCTTGCTCGTCCAAAACCACATCTAAACCAATTTCTTTCATAAAATACCTCAGGCGAAGCGTCAGTTTGTTAGGATAGTCCTCAACATGATTACCTCACAGCTCGAGGAGAGAAAGTCTGTAGCAGGATGCTTGACTTTGAGTCATACAAATATTTACAGGGTGCATAGCTCCAGAGTGGAATGGAGATACAAGCTTCAGTGTGTTCAGCAAACGAAGGTTACAAACGATGATAAAACATTTGCTAACCCATTTTCGATGTTGATGATTATACTGACCTATTCCTGGCGGCGACCAGATATCCCAAGTGCTATTTCCCTTTGGCGCTGTCCATGCCTTCCAGTTTGACGGAGGAGATAGAATCGGGGGCGGAAAGAGTGCCAGTAATCGACCTGTTTTCATATCGACTGTCGCCGTATGGTGTTCAACATATATGTTGCAAGCTATTAAATAAGCATCGAGCGCAGTCGAGATGGTCGGAGCTTGAGGACTGTCTATCGTAACTATTAGAGAGTGGGACTGGGTAGTAGCGCGAGCACATACTGAATAACAGGTCTTGCTGATATTCCCAGTTTATGTGCTGTGCGGTTGCTGATTTCAGGGAGTCGTCGATATCAATGGACGTAGGAATTATAAACACGATGGTAGGCTAAAGGTAGCACAGGTCACTCAGAGAGTAAGCAAAAATTGAAATATGCTTACCCCAGGAAAAAGGACAGACATGGACCCACTGACTTTTAACTGATCTTGATCTACCAAAATGTAAGATATAGCTCCTGCAGGCAATGAAAGGAATACCGACAGGGAGGTACCAGCCGGGCCGACCATCTCATGGTCTGCTCCTGGCCTGAAACTGGAGGTTCGATTACGTAGTCTCCGAATTGATTGGCATTCAGCTGTGGGGTGTAGCTCAACTCAGAATTACGGAGTAACCCACACTCCGTTTGGAAAGTAGTTGCATCTACAATGGCGTTTCCTGTGGCGCCATCTGCTTCAACGGTGTCATACAATGTGGTATCATTGAGTCCGGCGTTCAACGAACTATTGAAATGGCTCAGAGATGGAACGATCGCGCTAATAGTGTGCCACTGAAGTCCCATCATGTCGACATTTGTGCCAGGCCAGTGAGAGAATGTTGTTGCTGACATGTTTGTGGTTGCGGTGAATGTCTGCAGCTGCAATAGGGATGACGAAGCCACATGAAGCGCGAATACACATCCAAGATAGGTAGCGATAGACGCCATCCACCATAATGATCTACTAGTGCTTGACTGTTGCCAGAGACACTGTAATGCAGAACCAAGGCCACTCCATGCGTTAACATTGTCGTGGAGGATGGTCAATTTTTGATGCTGAATCAAGTTCCGGTAGAGTGTCAGGCGTTGCGCCAGGTAAACGAGTATCGCGCAATACAGCTTTATAAGTCAAATTAATTAAGTGTAATTTGTACAAACAATTGGCCTCACCGCATAAAAGGCCTGTGTCGATGCAGCCAATGCTGACATCCATGCACCGTTCTCAGAAATGACAATACGGTGCTCGATAGCAGAAATGCTTAACGCCAGGAGAACAAAATGGAGAAGAACAAAAAATCCATGCATAAACACACATAGAAATGCTGATACCGATTTTGTGGACTTGTGCAGCTTTTGTGTGGACAGCGATGAATTCAAGAAATCTGTAGCCGCCGAGATGAAAGGACCTGTATTATCACCGGGCAGGCATCGACATTGAGTGGGTGTTGGTATTCGTTCAAGTTCAAGTTCATGTAAAGGAGAACTCGGGAGTTTCCCAATTGGCTGCAATGACATGGAGCCATGGTTGTCCTGTCTCACGTTAGGTAGCAGAGAAGAGAACATGCTAAAGGGTAGATAATCAGCACATCACCGTGACATTGCTTTAAATGATATGTGCTGTGTCGGTCCACATTGTGAGTACGCTGCCATGATGCTGCGCAGATCGATATATACAGCCGTAAAGATTGATTCAAACATCCTGTGTTAGGGTTTTGATCAAGCCGACGATAACAAATTTTAATTGGCAGACCATGACAAGGTGCCGATTCGGAGCTTGCCGGAGAGTCAGCACCACGCGTCCAACTGAGCGTGACGCTTGGTTTTTCTACCTTCTCGTCACTATTCGAATCGTAGTATCTGCGTATCAGAATATCTATTACTATCCTCTCGTTTACTCGCCCCTCACATTCATAATACCATACCATACGTTATCACTTACTTTCCATCATAATCGCACCTCACTTGATCCAGTCTTATCCGCCTGATCAATGACCCATCAGCACCTAAACCTGCAACTTCCAGGCCTGCCGGCCCCTCATGCCAGTTCCTCAGGATCATCTGCACCTGTAGGGCCACTGCATCCATCCGACTATGCAGAGCCTCCAGAAGAGCTAGGCCAAGGCGCGGCTCGCGCCAAAGCAGCAGCAACAAGGCAGTCAGCCAGACTCGCTAGCGTCGGTGCCGACGCAGACGACGATTCAGCGCCTCAAAGCAACGCACCCAGAGTAACACCCCTCCCTGGTGCTCCAGCAGCCAGAGCCGCAGCTGCAGCTGCAGCCGCAGCCAAACCGGCGGCCAAGCCAGCAGCCAAGCCAGTGGCTAAGCAGCCATCCAAGCAAGCAGCATCGAAGCAGCCAGCCCCGGCCAGCACACCATCTGCACCAAGTCCACCGAACCCACCTGCCGTAACACCAGTGCAGCAAACGGTTGACGTGGCAGCGCTGCTTGCCCGGATTGCTCAACTCGAGCAAGAGCAAGCAATAAGGACCACACAACCCGTTGAGCTCCTCCCTCAGGCTAAGGCTCCCGCACTTCCATTGTTTGCGTCGCCAGAGGAAGTAGAAAGAGCAAGGGCCGCCATCATCGAAGCCAAGAAGGACGAGCCCAAGGTCTCCCTCCCTGATGTGGTACCAGGCTTCAAAGCAAACCCCCTCGACACTGGTGAGGATCTCTATCTCGTTCTTAGCCAGATTTGCGAGTTTCGTGCTACGTGCACCAAGGAGGCAGTGCTCAGCGTCTTGGGTCCCAACCTTCTAACCCAAGCATGCAGATGCAGCTGCGCATCCAAGCGCACTTGATCTCAACACTGAGCTGAAGGCCAGTGCGAATTATCAGAGCTATAGGCTCAGTCGCTAAAGGCGACCCACTTGCTACGTCAGGCTGCAGGCCAAGCTAGCTTTTGTCTGGCCATAGAGTGGTCCGGGGCTGAATGCTGCCACAATTTCGTGTTCGCCTCGCCATTACCGAGGATTTCGAGAGCTAATGCCAGTCTCGTTGTTACAGCCGTTCCACCCAAAGTTGACGAGGCGTTCAAAGCCTTCAAATATGTCCCATACAGTATGCTCACTTCGTCGGCTCGATGGCAAGCGATTAGGACTGGCGAAGAAGCCTTCACCATCTCTGCATCAGGCTCGCTGATGGCCAAAGGGCTCGATCGCCGGAATGAGAGGAGCATAACGTTGTCAGACTGGATAGGAGCGGCTGATGCAGCAGAAGATCGCATGGGTCATTACCACGGGGCCGCACGCGCGAAGGCACTGAAAGCCCACCACAGTGTAGTCCTGGGTTTGAGCCGCTCCCACTCATGGGATATTGCAGTTGAATATGACATCCAACAACGTGAAACGGTAGCACAGCATCCGCAACACGACCTATCCCAGCTAGACGACAAAGCACTTACCATCATTGCAACTCGCATAGTAACCAGGCAACCCGCCGTCACTGCATCGTACAGCCAAGCACAACTTAAGAGGCCATCTCCGCCATCCTCGTTGCCATCCCATCATCCACAGAAGAAGAAGGCCAGACTGCAATGCTTTCGGTGTGGAGGAGCAGACCACTTACCAGGCGACTGCACAGCAGAATCAACCGTCACCGGGCACCCAGTGGCCCAAATCGCAACCTCAGCTAAGAGCGCACATGCCCTTGCAGCCCCGGGTGGAAAGATTTTCTGCATCAGCTGGGCGAGATTCTCCAGTTGCCACTTTGCCAACGCATGCATCAATTACCATGGATGCAGCATCTGTGGAGATGCTGCCCATGGCGCAGGAACCTGCAGAGCAGTCCGTCCTAGATCCTAGGCAGGTGGTGACACCCCTCATCGCATCGAAACTCGAAGAACTACTATATGAATATAATATATACGAGGAATGGGGACATATGATATCCAATATCAAGGAAGGCTTCGACGTAGGAGTCAGAGAAACACCGAAAACCACACTATCCTTTCGAGAACCACACATCTTCACAACTAAATGTCGATATCATAGACCAATATATAATCAGCGAGCAGAACGCTGGGTGTTACTCTCGCACATACTCAATCTCGGAACTAGAATCCTTAATCGGCCCTTTTCGCACGTCCCCACTTGGCCTCGTACCGAAGCCTCATTCCACGAAATTCAGACTCGTTCAAGACATGTCATACCCACACGACAATCCCGAAAGCCCCTCTGTCAATGCAGGCATAGACCCAGACGCATTCCCAACAGAATGGGGCACATTCGACAGTGTAGTGGAGTTGATTCTCTCGCTACCAGATGGGTGTGTCGCAGCGACATTCGACATCGCATCAGCGTACCGAATTATACTGGTCCACCCCAGCCAACAGTGGGCCCTGTGCATTCTATGGCGCGGTCGGGTTTACGTCGATCGAGCCCTCATGTTTGGCTTAAGCTCAAGCGCAGGAGTCTTCGGCTCAGTAGCAGACATGCTAGTGGCCATATACGAGAAAGCTGGTTTCGGCCCAATTCGAAAATGGGTAGACGACTTCTTCGTCATCCGCCTCCCGCACCAGAATTGGACAGAAGAAGAATTCATCGAGCTGTCAGCCGCCTTCAGAGTACCATGGAGCTTAGAGAAACTGCGGGCCTTCGCAATTATCCAATGTTACATTGGCTTCGACTGGGACTTATCACGAAGAGTAGTCTCACTCCCGGAAGAGAAAATGGAGAAAATCCTATCATTGTTACAATCGTGGCTAGCAAAGGGCACTGCGTTTCACAGCAAACGAAGCAGCAAGCCTGCACGGCAAGCTAGTCCATGTATCATCGATATTCCCACTGATTCGCCCTTTCCTTCGATCAGTGGCCCTTTTCGCCAACAAATTCAAATCACGACGAGCACGTCTTCATATACCGAGCTCGCTTTCTGCCGACTTACACTGGGTAACAGAGATCCTATCAGTATCCCCACGCGAAAGACCTCTACGCACCCAACACCCAATCGACCTCCAGTGGTGGGACGATGCGAGCACATCTTTCGGAGTAGGCATCGTGATCGGCCAGCATTGGGCAGCATGGAAATGGAAAGAGGGTTTCAAGGTGGGCCCAGGCTGCGAACACAACATTGGCTGGGCCGAAGCTACCACAGTAGAGCTAGGTTTGAGGTTAGCCCTCCATCTTGGGCTATCCGAATGAGCAGATGTGAAAGGCCAATCCATCCTAGTCCGTTCGGACAATGCTGGAGTAGTCATGGAAATAAACAAAGGCCGCTCACGCAATCAGCCAACAAACATCGTCCTCAAGGAAATCTATTTGCTACAGGTAATATCAACGAGCATGGATTTCAAGCTTACTTATCTTGATATAGGCGCACCATGGGATACATCTCAAAGTCGAGCACGTACCTGGTCAAATCAACATCTCAGATCCGCTCTCGCGAGGCGACATTCAAACCTTTCTAGGCAATTCTTCTGGCCCATCATTCAAGACCGATTTTCCACTCCCGTCGCATCTCAGCGACAAAATGTCATTTGTTACAGTCTGACCTCCTCGTCAATTGAAACCACACCCCCCACACCCCAGAATTTATTATCCCTTCGAGAATCTCCCCTCCGCCCCCCCTGTGCAGCTGAGGAACATATTTTTCATTGGCGTGGCATCAACACCCCTCCACCGTCAACGATAGACCACCCAGTCATACAGTTCCTTGCCAACATCTCCAACCAAGCATCGCTACGAGAAACGACTAGCTATGGCTCGGGTTTAAGAAAATTTCACATTTTTTGCGACATATTCTCCATCCCAGAAGCTGACCGTCTGCCAGCATCTTTCGAACTGCTGCACTCATTTGCCCTTTGGGCCGTTTCCGATCCTTCCGCAACAAAACATTTTCTAGAGTCTGCGACAACTGAAACAGTACCCTTTGAGCCAGTTTCCGTATCAGTCGCGAGAAAATACCTCTCTGCAATCCGCGCCTGGCATTTGGCACAAGGATGGCCACCTCCGCTATCACCAGAACACTTCACGCGGATCAACTGGTCACTTCGCGGAATGGAGAACCTGCAAGGAACTCGCCGTAGACCTATCAGACCCCCAATCACACTCCATATGCTAGCTGCCATCAAGGCCACCCTACGAATAGATCAACCATTTGACGCGTGCATATGGGCAATGTCCAGCTGTGCCTTCTTTGGGATGATGCGGTTCGGGGAAGTCGCAGTCAACACTCGCGCAAGTTTCGACAAGTCAAAACACATCACGCGAAAAGATGTTCACCTCGGATTCGATCTGACTGGGAAACCTTATGCCAGACTTGATCTCCCACAAGCCAAGACAGCAAAATCGGGAGAGCCTCAATCCGTTTTCATTGTAGAACAAGGAGATCTCTGCCCAATTCAGGCATTGCGAAACTTAGCAGAAGTAGTCCCAGCACTACCAGACGACCCATTATTCTCGTGGAGGGACAACAAAGGAGTCATTCGCCCGATGGTCAAGACTCGCGCCATCGAAAGCATCAACAGCATATTAACCGCCTGGAACTGGGGAACAACGTTTGGACATTCATTTAGAATCGGCGGCGCCTCATTCTACCTCGCTAACAAAGTAGACCCAGAAATAGTGCGCATAGCGGGTCGATGGAAATCCCTAGCGTATGAGACTTACATCAGGGCATTCGAGCAAGTCGCAACGCAACACCTCGGCGGCCTGGCAAATATCCACACAAACCATTAATAAGCTAGATCGCTCTGTTGGGTTGGCCGCTGAGATCAGCCGCAGTTGGAGCTCACCAGCAGTGGGTAAGCGGCTCAATCCTTCAGCGTCCAGCCCGAGCTAACACTCGGACTCAGCCCAACCTCACAGGAGCCTTCGCGTCAGATCGTTTTCGTCAGTACAACAGTCGAAGTTGGAATGACAAGGTGCCGATTCGGAGCTTGCCGGAGAGTCAGCACCATGCGTCCAACTGAGCGTGACGCTTGGTTTTTCTACCTTCTCGTCACTATTCGAATCGTAGTATCTGCGTATCAGAATATCTATTACTATCCTCTCGTTTACTCGCCCCTCACATTCATAATACCATACCATACGTTAGTTCGTTCCACCCCACCCACCGCTACATCCATTGATTCTTTCGCACCATCAATTCATCTTATTCATCTATCCATCGTTCTTCCGCAAGGCTCCACACAAATCGCTGTTCGTTTGCCCGCCCACCCAGCGGCTCAATCCTTCAGCGTCCAGCCCGAGCTAACACTCGGACTCAGCCCAACCTCACAGGAGCCTTCGCGTCAGATCGTTTTCGTCAGTACAACAGTCGAAGTTGGAACTTACGTAATAGACGGATGGCTACTAAGTTAGCCGAGCAGAGTGTTGTTGGTTGGTTGTTAGGAAACCCCCATCTTTTAATAATCGACCGATGCACTACGGCCCTATGGTGACTACGAATATTCCAGTGCTTGAATATCTGAAATAGTGCAGGATAGTACTAAGAGTGCAGTTGCTCGAGAAAAGTAAGTTGCTGATACTCTATGAGCATCGGTGTGATCCCCCGTCCTTCCGGCAGACTGGACCTACAACACTATTTCTAAGTAGTGAGTTCAACCTTCCGTATCCTCTGATTTACACCATGGCGCTACATCGATTACTGTCTCATCTTTCCATGCGGTGACATTGAACGCTGAGAACGTCGATACAGGGTTGTGATTCACATTGCACAGATCCGTTGACAGTGGCACTGTGTAGGTCCCGGAAGTCAACCTCGGTGCCCGAGATCATGATCTACTATCATGATAGGTGCATTCACCAAGGCCAAGCTGAGGCAGGTATCATAAATATGGGATATTTGTAGCGCTAAATATCGAACAATCGTGATGTTTCAGATCTTTCATTCTGGCGCTCGTCCGAGTCATGGACTCTAGTCCTTACTTGGTGAGATAAATTCACACCTAGGCCCTCGGCAAGATCTTTTTTCCACCATGCATAGGTTATATGCTGTGCACCTCCCAAAATCATGATGTCTGGACTCCAAAACCTGTTTCGGTTGCCTCACTGCTTAATAACTCAAGTCTAGCCCCGTCAGTCTTGTAGAGGTTTGTACGAGTTTGTGCGTCCTTTCACACCCCATAACCTCTCTCCCCCTACCCAACGTGTTTACAAAGCCATAGCAAGATCGTGGTGTCCTTCCTTTGCGCACCGTAGGTACCCGTCAGATGTGTTCTACGAAGCTTAAAGTAGTACAAAACATATTATACCGTCAGGTACTCTCAAGCAACATAATCCAATTCCTTTCTCACATAAACAATTGCAGATCGCCAATCGCCTTATCAATGGTCGTGACGCAGCGGCGGGAATCAGGGAGGCCAGTGCTTGCCATTCTGTGCACTCTTCTGCACATCATTCTTGTCCTCCTCCACGTTGTTATTCTCGTGCTCAACATTTCAGGTATCGAGCACCGCTTAGTCGTCCCATTGACATCCGGCAATGAAATCTGGGTCACTATATTGAGTACGTCATCACAGGCATTTTATGCGGTAAGGAATCATCACATATGTACTATCTTCTTGCACCAACGAAGCCTTAAGATTTATTGCACAATACTCGTTTACCTAATGCAACGATTAACATTCCTCAAGAACACGACACGACGCCAGACGGTAACCGCTCTTCATGACACGGTGAACGCATGGAAGGGCCTTGGTTCTGCGCTGGAGTGTCTTTGGCGTCAATCAACTATCCCTGCATCATGGTGGAGCATATTATCCATAACGACCTATCTTGCATGTGTTTTTTCCCTTCACGTGGTCTCGTCATCTATCATTCAATTACAAACATTCAACTCAGCTGTGGATGCGACCGCTACAAAAATTTCTTACTGGCCTAGTCCAGACGTAGATATGATGGCAATCCAGTGGCAATCCATCAGTGCATTGGTTCCTACGTTAGGCCAATTCGCCAATCTTCAGGGTATGGGACTCCACGGTGCCGCTCTTTACGATATCATTCAATCTACCGATACGCCTGGACGCGCCATCGTCAATGCATCGTCGTTCAGAGCAAATTGTGGATTAGTTCGCAATTCCGTATTAAATTACTCCCATGAAATTAACGCTGACAATTTCGGATATCTTACACTCAACCTGCCAATATCAAATCTCAGTCATACCGTGAGATTGAGAACTAGACTTGTGCATCCATGTATGTATTTTCTTTTGCTTTGCTTTAGAATGTATTCATCCATCGCCTATTCTTAGATTCAGATCAGGTTATGATAAATCCTGTCATTTCCTCATTCTTTCCAGGAGTATATCCCAATCTTCCTGAAATTTGAATCTCTTACTAAGTAACTATATGATAGCCGACTGTTGCTTTCATAGCCTCGACTGCTGTGAACTCGAGCAATTTACCTGGCGATGAAACAGTTCAACATGTGTATTGGGAACATCCTCCCGGGCCATTTACCTTCATAGGTAAGAGGCTTTGTCATGCAAGAATGTGATCTGACTACGACTATAGGCAATCCCCAGCCTCCCCTGATTTATAGCATGTACAATGTTCATATAGTGGCGTGCACTATTGACCTTCAACCCCATGTCGCCACTGTTGATGTACAAACGAATCAACTACTGGATCTTTCCCCGTCCCTTGAGCCAAGTGTTTCTGGTGACTGGGAAGCATGGTCACCGCCGGAGGAAGAACCTAGATGGGATATTTGGTCACCGCCATTATCAAGTGAATTGCATCATGAAAAATGGGCAAGTTTCTGTCATCAGTGGACTGGCTGAGATCTAACCATATGGTTTTTGGCACTTGATAGCTTGTTTCACCTTTCGTAAGCGGGGCGCATCATCCCACTGGCTGGTGCATGAATCAGGAACGAGCATCATGTTATGGGTTATCTCTTTTGGAAATGTGATTTATGCACCGCTCGCAGTAATGTTCAACTTTTGCTAATCGTCGTCAGATTTTTTATGCAGCAGATTGGAATAACCGTCTTTCCCCACCCAATGTCATACTTTGACTCAGGCTTCTCTGTCCTAGCCAAAGCTCCTCCAATTCCGACGAAAGTTCTGTGCAGCCGTGATCAATTCGAAACGGCTCTATCAAGGGCTTATGCTGCAGTTCTATGGACAGGTATGTTACGAATTCTGATTGATTTGTGCAGAAATGCTTAACTAACGTACTGGGTCTAAAAAGCCGGACAGCTCGGCGCCGACGGCGGTGGGTTTAATCGGAAATATGAAAACACCACCATTTCACAGCAGCTTCTACAATGGCACCTTGGTGTAAGGTCAAGAATCATTCAACAATGAATTTCATGGCTGAGCAATATATTATCCAGATAAACTTATGGCCCGTAAGGATTCTGTTGCATGTGGGAATTGTGTATCACCAACGGAAAGATCTAGCTTGCATTTGCATTCACCTGCTCTCTGCTCATGTTGGCGCTATCGATGCGTGTGACAAACGGGATGCACAGTGGGCGGAACGATAAAATGCCTATCAATAGCGCTGGCATTCTTCAAATCATTTGGCTTGCTACGAAACGCTTTGATGTACTAACAGACCTTGTGGGCGATGTCGAGGATCCGCAAGAGGATATTCTTCGTGCAGCTGGGATGGTCGATGTGGACCTGCTGCGAGGGTTGAATGACGTGCGAGCAGATGATCTTTGACAGCCATCCCCGTGTTTCATTCCAGTGCCGCCGTCAGCAAGAATATGGAAGAACTCGAAAGGTGTTTCTATGTGGAGAAGAGAGGAGATGAGCAGAGACCGGCATGATTGACTGCCTTTTCAATGAATGTATGACATACTGCGTGAGGCCATATATCTATAATAAAATGTAATCAGTTCCTATGATGAGATTGAAAGGGTTTGCTGCAACGTTGGGTTCTAACTTCTCGAAATGGCTGATCTCTGCTATTATTTTGCAAATATCTGAATGCAATCGATATTGAAATTCGGCGAGACGCGACAGTACACACGACCGCGTTTGAACCGACCCGACGTCAATTCTTCAGACCATAAGTCACTCCTTCAAATTTTGTATGTCTACTACGCGCGTAGCGACACGCACTGGCAGACAGGCATCTAATCTCTCATCATAGGAAATCGTTAAGAAACATAGTCCAAGTAAACAAAGACTGTTGACCTAAACAAATGCAACGCCACTCAAACAACAACACAAACAAAAGCACGCCTATACCACCTATTCGCGGCTCGCCTCACACTAAACTCATGGCAAAAGTCTCCCCTTCTCGTTGTTAACAACCTGCTACAGCCGTATCCGTAAGTCAACCATGCACACCATAAGTTGAAGTGACTCACCACTTCCTGAATAGGAACATATGTGCTCCGCCTGCGCTTGAACCATGATAGAACAAACAGGCCAAAGAGCAAGAAGACTGAGAAGGCAGCGAGCAGCATGTTCATGCTCTCAGCAGCAGACGTGATGCCGAAGTAGCCGCTATGGATTCCACACGCAGATTCCCATTGTTTTTGGCTCGAGATAGCAAAATTCTGGAAATCCTATCAGTACGAGCCAAACACGACGTGCACGAAACTTACCTCAAGGCGATACAAGAACTCTGTTACCGCTATGTCTCCTTGGTGACCGAAAACGGGGTAAGTCTGGAATTCCTCGTCGGTCCCGTTCTTGAACTTGATGCGGAGGAATTCGCGGAGTTCGGGTGGAGGTCCACGAAGAATCTCAAAGGCAAGGGCGGATGCATGGTTTGCTGTAGTAATGCAAATATTGAGTCACTGTAAGGATGCCTGAGCTAGAATACTCACGAATAGCAGCGAGCTGAGGGTGCTCATTGACCATCTCCATCATGTGGAATAGCGAGATGAATGGCTGGTAACTCGTCTCAAGAAGAAGCAACCTGAGGGGGTCCTCATCAAAAGTGATGCGCTGAAGGGAGTGAAGAATGGTGTGAAGGATAGTACGCCCAGCAACTAAGCAGGAGATTAGTTGCAAACCATACGAGCCGATGGAACGCACTATTTCCAATTCCACCAATTTCCTTATCCGAGAATATCGCGTTTTCGTGGTAGTTAGCATATCCGTGAGCCTGCTCGACGAAAGTTGGGGGAAGACGGTACGCATAGGTTTGGTTGTGCGTAAGTTGCGAGTTGATGAAGTCATAGATCTACATGAAATATCACAACATTAAAATGACCATGAGAATGCTGCGTGTTACATACATTCCACTGTCATGGGATGATCAGGACGAGTAAGGACGACACAAAAGAATACGTACAGCGTTTTCAAGGGTCGTAGACCTCCCGAATACGTAATCGCGAACGGCGCCAAAGAAGGGTGCCGCAAATTTCCCTGTCTCCCTGAAACCCTCGGATGCATACACACTCTTGATGTGCTGCTCGAATGCCTGTATATCACACAAATCAGCCTTCCGCAGAGCCCTAGAGAGCACACAACTCACTGGACACTCAGTCCAGGACTCGAGCGCGCGGTCAACGTTGCTCGGGGCCATTTCGACTGGAACATACTGATAGCCCCCGAGGGGAGTGACAATGGTCGTCCCGTTAGCAAGCTGGATCAGATTATTTGAATTTGGCGGGAAGAGCCCTTGCAGGACTGCTATGGCACTATCAAAGACTGCAGTGCCTTCCCCGCCAGCCTTGGCATGGACAACCACTTGATCGTTTTGCACGAGGTCAGCATGGATGCTTTGGATGTGTGACGGGGAGGAGGGGTTCAAGTACGTCGATCTCAAATAGCAGCCAAGTTGGTGTGATTGCACCTAAAGTTATATATTAGGCGGTGAGCGCGGAGGATGGGGTAGACATACAGCGCCAAGAGGCGTAGACTCGGTGTAGGAAGGCTCGTACGTAAACGGATCTTGGTAAAACTCCGTGCGGTCACCATTGCGGGCGATAATGAGGACACCATGAACATCAGGCATTGCAAGTCGTTAGTATTGGGAGGAGAAAGAGAATTAGATGTGGAGGTTTAGTTTGGGCCGATCCTCCCCCAGGTCGCTTTAAACCTCCCCAGTGTACACGGCCATAAGATCTACCGAACCGAATTAATAGGCGACACGCGGATATTTCTTTGATACAATATCACATCTAGTTCAAGCGTGCACACTATAGAACAGGAGGCGCACATGCGTAAAATGGAAGAAAATTTCGTGAGAGCCCCTGGATGATACTGCTTCTATCCATCTGAGTCTGCCGACTAGTCTTTTGCAGGGCTAACAGATCATCTGAAGAGATCAACAACAGCATATCGGGGTGCTGCGGGAGGAAATTGATGAATGGGTCAGTACAAGACCAACACGCATCAAACGCATGCTGGCGAAGTGAGAGCCACGTCACGCAAATTTAAGGCCGCGGTCACGGTGCAGGAACCACGTGCCCAAGCATTCTGCGAGCTTTGGGACGCACTTCAAGTCTGTCGATCCTATAGGCCAGCACAGAATCAGACGTATAAACTTATAGAGTGTACGCCACCATGTCTAGGTCTAGGTCATATTGTCGTAGTTCGAGAGATATGACGGTCTTGATGTCGAGGCTCTGTGGGAGAAGAACCATCAGCACGTGTGATCGGTGAGGCGGGTAATGTAACTGCATGTTTGATTAGATGACAAAGGTGAGTAGCGTGCGGGTTTGCTGCGGAAGCTTACGTTGCTGCCGGTGACCGGATGGACCAAGGGCATATTAGGACGGCGGTGATACGATAACGTGCTGCCTCGCAGACTTCTTTGATTCGGTTCAGATCGCAAAAGTCCAAGAGTACTAGTCACAATTTTGCATATCAGATCGGAAAGTGCGATCGAAGCTAGCAGAGCCTTTAGTACGAAGGTAGGAGCTATAACGGATGCGGATGAGGAATGCGCCAAAGCCCTAATGAGTTCATACTTCCTGCACTACATACTACCACTCACAGCATAGGGATGGCTATACAACTTCGCAAAGAATACCCTATTGCCACGGATTCTACTTCCCCAAATAGCTGTTAAACTTGCCCGTGTCAGCTGTGGTGAGTTTCGTGATCATGTTCAGCCTGTCACAGAGACATGGAGCTCGATCGCCGCACCTTTGCCGCCCATGTCTGTTTTTACCTAACCGGGAGGATTGGGATAAAGTGGGGACGCTCATACATTTGTTTGTATGCCTGTTGCGTGGCCAACCAGTGGCAATGGGAAGAGGAAGCATAGACCGACAGATCACAAAACGCAAATTAATTGATTCGTAAAACAAAAGATAACAGTAAGTATTCTAGCAGAAAACAATTGATGAAGAGATCGCCTACAAGCTTGTGAAGTCCAACTTGCTGATACTGTAGTTGATTGATTCGGGCCCGAGATCTTTATTGATACTGGTAAGAGAGGAACTCATGTTGACAATAACTTGAGATGACTGGGAGAAGGAAACGTGTAACCAGTGCTGGACCGGTGACATTGCATTTGATCGTCTCTGCAAGCACAGCTGGGTCGAAGCTTAATGACAAGTCTCTACTAGGATTCTGCAGTGCTAGCATCATCATTCGACCTGTAAAAGCTAGCACAGCAAAACGCATGATCGCAGTGTTATTAAGGATATAGTCCCACTCATTGCCGTTGAGAAGCCCGAGAACTTTTGAACGCCAGTATTGATACTGCCTTCGTTCATTACGTAGATTTGGACAACATGATTCCATGAAAGATTCCAGGACTGGATTTGAGGGCATCGAGGCCAAGGGCTATGGCAGGAGAGCAACAGATGTCAAATAGTGTTGAAAGATGACCGTAGGAGCTGCTTGATAAGTTCAAGGCCGATGCACTGGACGTACATATAATATGAATAAGATAAGGGACTGTAGTCACCACAGATCGACTGTGTCACCCACAGTGTAATTACTGGCAATATTTTGACAAAATAAAGTTGGCATTAGATGAAGGACACAGCTCTAACTGCTGGGCTTGTAAGGAAGAAGCGGAAATTCGAGGTGTGCCCTCTGCATCAGAAATTCAGAATAGGGTCCGTGGTGGCGCAACGTTTAACACACTGCTTACTAAGCAACACGACTGCTAGTGACTCGGAAGTCTCAGCGCTTCAGCACGCGACTGCGACGCGATGATGGACGCTACTACACTCAAAGTTTGGCTTCTTAATCAAGGTCAGTACATCTTCTATGATGTGATAACTGCTTTCTCAACCACCTGCAACTGTGACAGTCAATAGCTGTCCTTGGCAGTGTACACTTCTGCTCTCTCTCGGTGCTCTCACATTTGCACGTTTTACATTCAAAACTCTTGTCGTCTTCTTTCAGACCTTCATTCTCTCTGGGACACATGTATGTGTATAATAGCGCATATGCCTTTAGCCTTCCTGTGGACCTGACTTTGCATTGCCGCAGCTCGAGAAATTTGGTGCTAAAAAGGGAGCATGGGCAGGTTAGTAAGGCGATTCCTGCTGACGTGCAAATCTCACGTATTTATTCCAGTGGTCACGGGTGCTTCAGATGGCATTGGGAGGGAATTCGCGATCCAGTTGGGCTCGGCAGGGTTCAACGTTTTGCTCGTCGCACGGAATGGCACGATGTTGAACGATGTGGCAGCCGAGATTGGTACGAGTTCTTTATATTGATGTTTTTTAAATCCTCACATCTCTTCTAGCTACGAAAACAAAATCCGCAGTTGAAACTAAGATTTATCTTATCGACTTTGCCAAAAATGACGACCTCAAATATGATGGCCTGAAAGCTCTCATTCATACCCTCGATGTTGGTGTCCTCGGTGCGTACTTAGTAACACTGTTAATCCTTCGTTTTTGACACAGCATAGTGAACAATGTCGGAAAATCCCACGTTATGCCCACTGATTTTGCTGAGACTATGGAACAAGAAAATGCTGACATCGTCGCTATCAACGTGAATGCGACGATCCGCGTCACGCATGCAGTTCTCCCTGGTATGATTCAACGGTGAGTTATTAACCTGTGTCTCACCTCTGTTGCTTCAATGTGGACGGATATAGGAAACGTGGGTTGGTCCTCAACCTCGGTTCCTTCGCGGGTCTCGTGCCTTCTCCGATGCTAGCGACATACAGCGGTACCAAGGCATTCCTTGAAACCTTCACTAGCGCACTCGCAGATGAGGTCCGGTCTCATGGGATCCTCGTCCAACATCTCAATACTTACTTTGTCGTGCGTAATATTCATTCCGTCTGTGATCCATTACTTCTCATCATGACCCCTTATCTTTTCCAGGTTTCCAAAATGTCCAATATCCGGCGTACATCTGCGTTAATACCCAGTCCCGCATCCTATGTACGCGCATGCCTCTCTAAAATTGGCTTTTCTTGCGGGGCAGCACTCACTGGGCGTCCGGGCACGCTCACGGCATTCTGGAGCCACGCGCTTCTCGATTATATCATGCACGTTATCGGATGGAAGTCTCAGTTTATTACTTATACCCATTCGCTGCATAAGGATATCAGGAGAAGGGCACTCAGGAAGCAGGAGAGGGAGGCCAAAAAGCAGTAGATAGCCAGATCCGCCTCATGAAATTGTGAGCATGCTGTGAATCATAATTTTTTTTCGGACTGTGTGTCATCTAATGGAGCGACTCGGAACATCACGAAATGTCGCCTTTGTACAGAGACGATGGTATGCTCTTATTATTGACTCCGTTAGCTTCTTCCAGGTTCGTCTACCGTTTGTAAATTACTGCAGTGATTCCGCTACCTTCATTATGTCGATTCCCAAACTCTCAGCTTCTGTGACGATGACTGAACGACGTGTCCAATGCTAATGAACACACTAAAATCCTTCATATCGCTGAGACTGATCTACTACATATAGCTCGGAGAACGAGCCAAGAATAACAAGCATTGCGTTGTCTCTACCATGCTTATCAACCTTCGTTAAGCCTTAGACTTACCGCTTGGGTGAACTGTGATACGCCAATTGAGACTTGGTGCGCATGACTGCACAAAATTATCAAAGGTATCTGGTAAGTTTAAAGCGTGCTGAAACACATGGTCCTGAGGAATTTTGTGAAATAAAACAAGCTATGATCCTGAATACAACTTTGACAACTGCGGAAAGCATCGAGACGCGTCGCGTACCATCCTAGGTGGCCGTCTGGTCACGTGCCTTATCACATGCTAAGCCATACAAAGCATGCCTGACTAAGCGAACCCTGAAACTCTCTCAGTTGAGAGATCCTAGGAACGTCCATCTTCGTTCTATCCAGGACCTGTGCAGCTTGCAGATCTGACCGCAGGAGACTACAAGTAAGTGCGTATTTGCGTTGAATTTTTGATTCTTCTTCCAGCATCGAGGCCGTAGTGAATTCTTGGACTACCTGATGGGAGGCGACTGGTTCTAGCGCAGTATAAATTTGGTTTACTAGACCCCCTTTCGAGTTCTCTCCAGAGACGAATGAAGATCCATGTGTAGGAGATAATCCATGTGGCAACGATCTAGTGGTCTATGCCTACCGTGTGCAGTACAAGCTTTCTGGCATGCCCGTCGACCTGCGATGTATCTTGACAGTCGCTGCTCATATTTTCAGGTCGATCGACCAATTTCTTGCATCATTGTCATGAGCGTTGACATGTGTATATGCGCTTCCAGAGGGAAAAGTGATCATGCTCATTGTCCACCCCCGCTATATGCACTTCGAAGTTGATAGTTCAGTTCATGTAGCGAAATCCGATTGGGACCATCCATCCAGCAAAGCAGACATCACCGAGCTTGTATTGGTTAGTAGACTGGTACAAAATATTCTCAAACCTCGTTTGGATTGGTCTATACAACGTCACAGCTTCTGTTGAAATTTTTCAGAGGCTCCATGGATTGTTGATGGACCCGCGTTGATGCGACGCGACGCGTCGCGTCCAGTCATCATAAATTAGGGGTACCAAAAATTTACTCAAACTGCTTCAACTCAATAAAACAAAATTGAGACCAAGCTCTATTGTAATCGCCTCACAACTTGACATGGCTTCTCTAATATAAAAGACAGACACAATATTAGTGTCATCTTTTGTTGTTTGTTCGTACGGACCTCTAAAGCTGCCGGGAATTGCCGCTTGGCAATTGCCACAGAAATTCTGCCATTGACATTGACAACAACGCAATTGAATCCATCACACCGAGTTCTGTGGATGTATAAAGTGCCTAAACTTTCTGGACATTAAATTTACCTGGTTTCGTATCATTTGCGATGCCGTCTTCCCAAGCACACGACCCCCTCGAAGTTAACTTCGACCCACGAACAAGTATGCCCGCCAGTGATTCGGTTCAGTACGTCGCTCCTACGTTGGAGGTCACACTCGCACGTACAGGCTCTCAGAATACAGAAGAATCTAGTCAGGGCCCATCTTTTGACGGACAAACCAAAGTTGAGACCACACTCGACATCCCAACACAGGTGTCATCCAAAGAATCCCCATTTGAGCCCCAAGAGCCAGTGAGTCACACCCATCGATTATAGAAATGGCAAAGTTTAATTGCTTGCGTGTAGCCTTCTCGCTCGTCAGCTCCGTCTCCTGCTCCCACCGAAATCATCCCCCTGGACCTCACACAAGAGGAAATTGTAGAAGAAATACCGAAAATGGGAATAAAAGTTCGCGATTTTGCCTATGAGGCTGTTCCAATTCCGCAGCGCGCTGTCGAGCTCTTTGATCCACTACAGGCGTGGAACACGTACGAGACCGTAATTTCACACCCCACTATGATGCGACCATGTCTTCCAGGGAAAATAACGCGTCGCTTGCTCGATATTGGCTGGCTTAAGAGAGAAGAGGAAGAGGAACGATGGTCTAATAAAGATAGGGAAGCACTTGAAGCCTACGACAAAAGACCGCATTACCCATGGCGCGCGTACAACCTCCCCAAACCCAAGCGGGAAGTACTTGCCAAGACATGGAGAACGAGGTTTCAAGATATTACCGCTGAACAAATGCTAGCGACGATTTCCAGACCTTTCTCCCGGTTTAGGGTGCCTTTTGAGTTTGGCGGGAACATGGAGAAAAAGCGTGGTGCCACTGCTGATCAGGAGTTGCAGGGCGAGGATGTTTCTCCGCAAACCAAAAAGCGACGCTTGGAGCAGCAAGACGCAGCGTCTTTGGCACCAATGCTGAGCCAGCCACCTGTTCTAGTTAATGGCCGGCCGCCTCAACAATACCCAGCTGGCAATCCTGCAGATATGCAGAAGCCACCATCCTCCTTTCAACCAACTTCTAGTCGTACGCTTCAGCGCGTATCTTCCTAAACCATGCTAGGTTTCGATGTGGATATCCTGCAGCGATTATTACCACGCCACTCCCTGTCATTCGCCTTTCTTTCACAATAATTGCCACTACACATCACAAAGTAATGTTGTGACTGTATTATCGATATTTTTTACTGGCCTGGGATGAGGTATCTTCGGAGATGTACCATTGCTATCAAGTTAGCTGTACTCCGTGTTCCTTGTAATATTCTTTGTGATGTTCTTATTTACTTTCCCAGGTGAAAATAGTCAAACAGACACGTGATATCTATTCGACGTCGATCACTGATCATGATTGAATTTCCGAGAGAATATTCATATACCGGCGGGCTGCAGTGATCCGGGGCTATATTGTGAATTGCCAAACGGAGCTGCATAAAGTTTCAACTAATTCAATCCTTTCGCTACTTGTTAGGCATGCGAAAACGTATTAGCCGCCTGTTCGTCTTCAAGTGTTTATGTAGTGTGACGCTGGGTCAAGGTACAACAAGTAGAATCGCATCTGCGTAGTCGAGACACAACAATTACCAACTTTGCATCAGTCGAATCACATGCGCCGAAGACACCAAATTGATTGGCCCTCCTAGGGAACAAATGTTGAGTATCCTTTTCCTTTGTACAGTCAAATCATGTCCGAAAATAAAGCAATAGACCAGGCCCTTGTAGACAGTATTCACAAGGGCCCTTAAACATTTCAGGCGACGATATTCAAGTGATATCTTGCAGCGATTCGGACAGTAGCTTGCATGTCCTCTTGGTCCAAGGAGCCATCATGCTAGTGCCAATGGTGAAAATGCACCCCCAAGTGTACGATACGTCGAGTGGGCAATAGGCGTCAATGGCACCATTGTTGACTAAAAAAGTTTCAAAGTCAGATTCTGTCTCTTGTTGTCGGAACGCCAGCTTGCCTCGCTTGGAACTGAGACGATTGTGAGACAACGCGCGGTTAGCAACTCGAAACGCAAGGAACCATCTTCTCAGAAGATCCATGGAGTGGTTGCTGACCTTACGCAGGCCAGAGTCAAGTTGACACTGGTGCATATTTAGATAAGGTCGATTTACTCAGGCAGCACTGCTGTGGGGGGAAGTATCGGAAAATCTTTAGAGATTACTGCCTGGCGCTGAAGTTCATGGAACATATGCATGATACATACCGTTTCTTTGTCGTAATAAGTGCAGGAGGATATCAGAAGTCATTTTGGTCCTGCTTGCTCACGGGTTGTACTATTCCAAAGTACGCCAGCGCATTATGATCCAGGGAAGTGATTGTCACGAAGGCTTCCTGAGCCTGCAGTTAAGATTGTGTGGAAATGCCCCGTCCGTAAGGGGTTCACCGATTCATACCTTGCGTGAAGTAACAAGCGTGCATGTCATTGTCATTCTTGGACAGATGCAACACGAACAACTCGTGTGGTCACTGGTGCCGGTGATGTTCGGACGTGATTAGGTTGATTAAGTGCCCAAGTGTTGATGCTTTCGCGGAACTCCAAATGTACAAACATCAAGACAGTCCACGCTGAAGCATGAGCAATGTAGTAGCTGCAGTTGATCAGTAACAATAATTGAAGTATATAAAACGACTGACCTATATATTGTCCAGGTCTGACTACAGTAGACCTATGTTTAGGACTCACCCTTTCCGCGCCTTTCCAACAAGTCATTAGTCAGGGACATATGAGTACCGCGGGTATACTCCTCATCAACGTCGCAATCCCTGACAACAACCTATGAAACAAGTACCTTAAATAACCACGAGGCGCTGTCATACGGACAATAAACATCCAAGAAAAGGGCAAAAGTACCTAGAAATAACCAGGGAAGCACCACAGTAAAGCTGTGAACAACAGGCGATTCGACCTACGCGCAAGTCACGCTTTAGCCAAGATGACGCTCGGCTGTCGTGTGTTCCAGGCTAACTTCTTCTAGCAGGATTTGTTCGATTGTTGAACGGAAAGACCAACTTTCCGTTTGGTAATTGGACAAATACCACTACTAGTTTGCTTACTGGCGAATACTTGGAGACGACATTGATATCCCCGAGGGCCCGACTCCCGGAGAACTTGTGCGTTTCTGTCAAAATCATTTCGTGGGAAAACTTCTAACGGCCTGTGGTTAGCTAAACTTTGGCGACCTCTTGCCTCCTCTTGCCTCTAGTCCGCGTTGTGTTCACATCCCGCCTCTTATGTACGTTATGATTCAATCGAACGCTATCTCACTGTCACGTTTGATGGTTCCTGACGTCTTTGTGTTGGCAGGCGTGGGTGTTTGGGTGCGCACCTTCTGAGAGATACAAACTTTAATATTGCACTTTCTTTAGCCGCTATTTCCCTCAGGTCCCACTTGCTCACATGCTTATTGTGCGGCTGTGTTATAACACAATGAAATGGGCCAATATGAGCGGCAGTGAAGTTAGTGCACAATATACATAATTTAAATTTGATTGAGTTTCTGGGAAGAGGACTGGTTACTGATTACATAATGCAAAAGTATCTGATTTTATAATTATTGTACACCATACACAGCGACTCGGTCAGCGTCTAAGTCCACGACTCCACGCTCATACACCTTTGTCACCCACTAGATAATCTCTCACAGATTTGCGCATCGGGTAACCCTTGAGCATCCGTATCTTTTCCAATCAGACCGCCACCAGCACTTTGACCCAAGCACTTCGACTTTTGAGGTCATAATAGAGATGTGCGTATTCACATAATAAGAATTGAGGAAAGTGACTCATTCTCTGTATCAGGAAGCAGACACTGCCCTCAAGTCTTGGTGTGGGTGACAAGATTGGAGAAGGGGACTCTAGCCTCATGCTCAATGTGCTTCCCCCTGAATTATGTGACACAGCGTTCAAGCAGATCATAAACGAGGTTGATTGGAATGTTATGTATCATCGTGGTATGTTCAATCAACTCGTGTTGCACAGACTTTGACATTGTTGGGTGTTCAGGCGGTGAGGTACCGAGGCGCGTGGCGGTCCAGGGGGAGATAGCAAGTGATGGAAGGTGCTTTCTTTTTCCGCCGTATTTTCGATCAGCTTATCTTGTTCAACTTCAGCTTTCCGATTTACCGACATCCTGCAGATGAGTCCCCTCCGCTTCGACGGTTTTCGCCAACGATAGCTACCATCCGCAAGCATGTAGAGAGCATTCTTGATCACCCCGTGAACCATGTCTTAATTCAACACTACCGTAGTGGTGCGGACTACATTTCAGAGCACTCTGACAAGACGATCGATGTCGTGCGTGGGTCGAAGATAGTTAATGTCAGCCTAGGCGCTCAGCGAGTGATGACACTTCGCTTGAAACGAGATGGGATGCAACAAGCGGGTGACAATGTCGTGACCCCGCGACCATCACAGAAAATTCCGCTGCCTCACAATTCAATGTTCGTCCTTGGTCTCGAAACGAATGCGAAATGGTTGCACGCAATTAACCATGACAAACGTCCGATCCATTTGAAGTCCGCAGAGGAACAGTTCATGAAAGGAGAGCGCATCAGTCTCACGTTCCGTCATATCGGCACATTTCTTTACGGAGATGAATCACGTATATACGGCCAGGGGGCCAGGGGGAAGTTCTGTGATGCGGGTCACGCAATAATTGGCGGCGGAGAGGAAGCTTCGAAACTCTTGGAAGCATTTGGTAAGGAGAACCAGCAGAGCGATTTTGACTGGGAAGAAGTGTATGGAGAGGGTTTCGACGTCTTGCATTTCACTTCAAGGGAATCGTAAGACCGTGACAACCAGCATCTGCATTAAAGTTATTTACTGATTAGATTAAACACTCGTAGTGAAGTACGGGCTACGTTATCATTGTTTCTGTTGTTCTTCATGTCTCCCGCCTAGCAACGACGGTGACATTGGAAAACACATGGATACACAAAACTCTCTCTCGTACCACCATCTCTGTCACTACTATAGCTTGGATCATTGAAGTTCTGGCAGCGCAGGGAGCTGTCAGTATTTCTAGCAAAAGCTTTGCGCGTTCTGTCGTTACTCAACTTTACTCTTTCATTCGTTCGAAGGTTGCATCCGCCATTGGCTATCACAAAGGTCCGATTTAATTCCGTGAAGATCTGGTAAGCGGAAGCATTTTTGTTCGGTTTCCTTTTTGGGGGGCAGGAGATTTAGTTTTTCAGGGCGGCGCGTGTTCGTTTTGTGCGCGCCTTCTTCCCACCTTTTGGTTCACTTATACGAAAGGAAAAGACACGAGGCTCTTAATCGTGGACTTGGAACACGAGGCCTGCCTGTTCCTTTAGATCTCTCCGGTATATCGACCTTGGGGACTTTTATCTTAACCTCCCGCTCTGCATCTTGCTCTACGTCTTATTCGCATCCTTTCACGGAGACATCCCATTTTCTAATATTCAACTAACCAAAAAAAAATCCTCTAACGCGACACCAACTTATATTCTGCTACGTCTTGACGAACTCGCTTATTATTTCATCTTTTGCATGATATTTTCATTTTATTAACGATATGTCACGACTGCAGCCCAGCACGTCTTCCGAATCTCCGCTTAGCGCATCTGCGCCTGGGGATTCCCCAAACAGAGGCTATGTCTCTGAACGCCCCTCCTCTTCTACTCATCCGAGGATATCAGAAGGTTCAGAAGGTTACCCCTCATGGCTCCCAAGGAGGCCTCCGCCACCTGCACCAGGATCAATTTTCCACTCCTCCGTTGGAATGTTCGAGCCTCCCCCACCCGAAACGTTCTCGGGTGGTCGAAAGGCTACACCACGTTCCGTGCGTGTTGTGAGCCTCCAGGACGCTGCGCAGGCTAGCGCTAATCCGTATAATCGCCGGGATATCACGGACCAGACTTCACAGAGCAACCCTCTACGTCCTCGAGTCTGGTCACGTGCTACGACTGCTGGCGTGAGCGGAACTCTAGTGTTACCGGCAGCTAAGATACAGGAGCACTCTCAAGCACCGAGGTTTCGGTCAACTGGTCTTCACCCGGAACTGCTTCGGAACCCTTCTGTCCTCACTCGTCTTTACTTTTACTTGCTTCCTATCATGACCTTCTACCACATTCCTGTACAAACATTCTTCGACTTCAACGCTGTATTTATAATCTTGCAGTATGTTTATATCTCGTTTAAGGATTAATAGGCTCAGTCTGATCTTTTCATTCCGCAGGATCGCTAGGTTTCCTAATCCGTCCGCACCAGGTGTGCCAGGTTCGGGCAAGAATTGGGCACTCGGTGCTGCAGCGTACATAGCTTGTTGGCTGGCTTGGATTACCATGGTGTTCGTTCTATACGAACTCATCTACTCCTTCTGGCGCCGATGGCGTGTCAGTGAGTACTATTTACCAATGAATTATATTCTAGACTAAAAACGATATAGAACGACCGCTCATCACGCCATTATATTTTTCTTCGGCTGCTTTCAACCTCGCTTCCATGACGTCTTACACGAATTTCTGCTTCATGCAGTACATCCGCTTCTCGGCTTTCTTTGGCGAAAATGGTAGTCTTCGCGATGGTATTTCGGAAACGTTCTGGTTTTATTCGCAGAACCTGCCCACTGTTGCGCTTCTACTACCTCGAGCGGGACTCTCCCTAGCTTTGCTACTCGCATTTACATCCGCTTCTCCTGAATATGTTGCTATGCTCGAAGCTGGCTTCAATCGTCGTGATGGAACTTACTTCAGTGCGTCCGATGGCACACTAACGGCTTACGCCCGTGGCGTTCTTATTGCCAATGCCGCTTGGACGGCATGGCGTGTCCTTGTGCTACTCCTCAGCTGGTCAGCGATTACAGGCTAATATATCTCGCTTTCTTCTGATTTTTTTTAAACATAAACAGGATTGGACTGTGGGTTCTCAGTGGCCAGGCCTGCGCTGGACTCTGTGGACCGCGCTTCAGATGGGAGGAAGAAGATCGTGAGAAGTCTCTGTCCAATTATAACAGCGACGCTGCCTCTGAAACGGATGCTCTCCCGTGGAACTGGAGAATTTGTACGCGTCTTCGTATCCAAGAAGCCTATGATTTTTGCTTGACGGTGAAGCCTCCTGCACGGTGGTCTGATACCGCAAAGAAGGATGAACCAGGACCGCTAGGCATAGAAACTTCCCCTCCGTTTGAAGTTGATCAGGTGCTTGCGGCTGTCGGTTTGTCTTCCGTACCACCACTAGCAAGACGCGGTGCGCTTTCAGAGGATCTTTTCGCCTTTCCGAGAGAGGGATCTGGTGAGGCGCCAGCACCTCCACCGGAGCTGTCCGAGATCATCCCCAAAGTTGTAAAGAGATCATCGAAGGATAAGGAGATGATCGGTCCTTCAGCACCTCTACTCAAGCTACCGTATCCGTTCGCCGGGTATGGTGCCCAAGTGTCATCTAAAGATCAAATTCCTTTCCCACCTTCCCCTAGTTCCATGAAGGAAAAGCGTAGATCGCCGCTCACCAGCGGCTCAGAACGCCCAGCACAAGATGATCAAGAGGATAATCATAGCGACGAAGAGGATGAAGATGAAGATGAAGATGAAGATGATGAAGAGGAGACAGACGAGGAGGCCGAGGTCGAGGTCGAAAATACCAGCGAAGCTCCACCACGTACCTCTGGTTCGATGTCTAGTCTTGGACAACCAGTATCATCTCGTTACCCATTCCAACTTCGCCGTCCTGCCCGTGGAGGTTCAGTTTCTTCAGCAACTGGTACACACTCGACTCCTAAGACACATCCATCAACGAATACTCGCTCAACAGATTCGCGAACGTCAACTTCTACACAATCTACTGGCAATCGTGATACCTCATCTGAGTCTCCCCATTCGCATGGCATGAGCTCGGGCTTGTCCAGTCCTAGTTCCGGATATGGTAGCCCGATACCTAGGCCCCCTCGTCATCCCCAACCAGGTCGTGGTCGCGCTCGTGCAGGCACTGTTCCAGTGTTATCATCTCCCTCTCCGGTTGTGTACACTGCTCCTACCAGAATCCGTATCGACAGCGACCATACAGAGACTTTTGGTGGCGGCGGTTATGAATCCTTCCTTAGCGAGGAGATCGACGAGGATGAGGCAGAGGAGGATGGGGAGGACGATGAGGAAGAGGCAGAAGACCAAGATGATGAGCCTCAGATGATGGAGCAGCCTGTGCCTGAAGGTCCCCATGAAGCTGAGGAAGGCGAGGATAGTGTTGGCCTCCTCGGAGTTGGTCCTCGCAGCCCGAAATCATCAATGGTCAGCAGCCGTCGCCGTCGTGGTCATCGCTCTGATTCTGGGCGTTCACAATCTGGACGTTCTCGATCTGGTTCTCGCTCTGTCTCTCAATCGGGTTCGTCTAGTTCCCGTACCGGATCAGCCGTTCGTTCGCGGACGCAGTCACTCATACACAGCATCGGAGCCGCCTCACGATCTTCGTTGGATCTTGTTCAGTCCATACGCTCTCGTGCAAATTCGTCTATGGCTCGTCTTGAGGAGGACTCAGCATACTCGTCCGACTCTCGCTCACGTAGCGGGTCAGAGGGAGTTCACAGCAGCAACGAGAATTATACTTTTGGAGTAAAGCCACCTGTGGGGCAAAGGTCTGGGTCTCGTCTAAGAGAGGTTTCCTCGAACCCCTCCATCTTTACCCCCTCTATTTCTGCACCTTCGGAGGCCACTACGTCTCACCTCACTGCTCGTCCTACCTCCCGCGAGCGAGAGGTTGAGCGATTAGAAATCCCTAGGGGGCCGTATGGAGGACAAAGTGGCGATAGCCGACCGGACATCAGTACTGCGGCTCAATCGTTCATAACAGCGCCTGCTACATTAGAAGGCACCTCAGCGTCTAGTGAACCCCCAGCAAGTTGGCAAGAAGTGTCGCACATGGTTGACAGACCAGGCACTGCGTGGAGACCTGCATGAGCATTCCTTGTTTTCTCAGTTTTTTTTCTGCACGCTACTTATTTGACATCATCTATTCACATTCTCCTACATCATGACCCGCAACTTCACAATTCTTCATTCAATAATTCAAACACTGGAGTTACATTTCACACTTATTCCCGCGCGAGACCGTTTAATTCTGCTACCGTTTCTACTCCTCCTGTTCTATCTAGCTCCATTACATCCTCACGAGTTCAACCTTTTCCATTTACATGCCTGTAATATCCGTTCGACGTAGATATTCTGCGGCACTCAATGAAGAGCGTACTTCATGACAATGTATCCCGATTTGCTGATTCAGAGCTTGGTACTCAGCGCCTATGACAACAGTGCTACGTGCAAAGCCTCAGGCCTCAAAGACTGACCAACACCCCTAAAAGTGACAATATATGCTCCAGTAGATATGACATTAAGTACATCGACGTCAAAAAAACTGTTTTTGAGGACTGTTGTGCAGAATTTTGAACTTTACGAGTGGCACCAGGTACGTCAAAGTAAACACACCTCATTTCGATGGCATGCTGACTTCCAAGTTATGATCCATGTCGAGGGCTGACGATCCTGTGAGCGGAATCAACGTTAACGAGTGTGCTGTTGGGCAGATAAGCATAATTAGCGTTCAAAGAGTATAGCATTGAAAAGATTCTGCAGCGCCTGCAGACGTGTATCATTGTACTCAACAGAGCGCTGAGCAGGCGACGAGGGAATTTATTCTTGAGAGAAGTAGACAACTTCCCCGTCAGAGCTGAGCGCTAGTGATACATCCAAAAGATATCGGTCGATGCAATATTATGAATATTGGTCAGATTGACAAGGAAAGCGAATAAACCGTAGTGTTACAATTATGGGTGACCACTGTACAAATATGCAGGAGATGAACCGCCAACCTCTGCATATCCAAAAAGAAGACATTGAGATCAAAAATTAGGAAAGCAACGAAGAAACTGGAAGAGTGCGCACGTTCTACCATCACATCAATCGTATCTAGATAGGAGTAATTTCAGAAAAAACGGATACACGATAGTAAAAAGACTCACCGTTGTCCTCCATTTCGAGGCTTGCAGGCGTATCATCGTCATTGATTCTGGACCCGTCGTACAAAAATCTGATTAAGGATTGTTCAGCAAACCGAGAACCAATGCAGTTTATGCGGCCAGTAATAATCCACCTGCTCAACTTCTGAGAGACAAGTTGGAAAATTTTACTCACCGAATGCTGCCCACATCCTTACCGACTTTAGTAGCATAAGCGCCTTGAAGCTTGCTCAACTTGGTGTTGCTCTTGATTTTGAAGAAAACCTCGTCCCCGGTCGAGCTTACAACCTGGGGAGAAGATCAGACTTGCGATCCGTTGTAAGATGGGAAGTCGCGTCAATCGATGCGATGCCATCAATTTTCGTACCTTGACATTAATTGGCGCGTTCTCCTCAAGCTTAAAGCCTTCCTGTCCTTGAGAATTTTGCTGCAGCTCTTCAGCCATGGTAGCAAGTAAAGATTGTACAAATAACGTGAATAAAGATCAGGAAACGCGGATAACGCGGGTAAGATAAACTCGGTGAGGAAGCGACGAAGACAAGGAGGAACTTGGGTGGACGGGACGGCGAGCAGAGATTGTCGGTGTTTGTACTGCTTCTTTTACCTAATCGATCCGACTGCACGGCGCATATGTGAAAGCGATGATCCAGTCAATGTATGTAGAATATGTATAAGAGTAAGTGCAAAACGAAACAAACGTAAAAATTATATGCGAAGGTATGTAACAATTAACTAAGGACATGCGAATGAGAAGAACAAATAGTCGATCAAGGGCCAAAAGGGATGTAAAGCGGCATCCGTGTTTGAGCTCAGAATGCCTTCAGATTCGGTAACAAGCTATACATTCTTCTTCCCTTTACCTTTCTTACTGGCTCTACTAAGTAGTTTCCGTGCACGACTGTACTCCTCATCTTCGTCGCTTGAGTCTTGCCATATGACGGGTTCTCTGGATTCATCGCGATTGTCACTATCCTTCGTTGAGCTCCAGGGGTAACGGCCATGGGTTTCATCATCTTCCAGAGCAGGTGGAGTAGGAGAGAATGTCGGCTGAAGAGATACCCGAACACTCTTCCGTCTTGTCGGTGTTTCAGTGGAGACTGTGGATGACTCAGTGTCATGTTGCGGAGCCGGGGGAGTTGACCCTCCCTCGATAGGACTTTCCTCCGCCGTTCTATAGGATGATATTGATATCATCGAAACTGAATCTCTTATCGAAATATCATTCAGTTCACTGGCTTGCCCAGGCCGAGCTGGTCTTGGAGTGCGCTCCTCGGGTTCATCCCGCTCTGGTGTTCGTCCACGAGGCTTACTATCCTCAGCGCGCAAAACAGCTCCTCGCTTTTGCATCTCTGATAATTGGGCTGGGCTGGGCGATGGTGTACGGCTGGAATTTCGAAGAGCTGAACGAAGAGGCGATACAGCTGGTCGAGAGGTTTTTCTGGATTCGCTTCCAGAAGCTGCAGCTGGACCACTCCCCTTTCCTGTAGACGGACGACGAGGTGCAGTTTCGTGTTTAGGTCTCGCTGTTCCGTGTGCACCTGAAACAACTGGGAAGGACTGAGATGCAGAAAAAACCGACCCTGGTGCGCGGGGAATGTCCAATGATCCTGAGCGGACAGGAAGTCGATCATCTGAAACTTTGGAGGACCACGTCGCATTGGTAGGAACACCTGGTATCGGGGCACGCGGGACCTCAAGTTTTGTTGTACCTGGAGGTGGACTCGATGAGCCCGGAGTTGTGGCACCCCGACCAGTGCGATTCTGTCGTGCGACATCTTCAACGACGCTCATAAGACTCACACTAGTGCTGCCTTTCACTGGAAGAGGATGTATGGTTACTACTTTGGCTGCACGCCTGGATCTTGATCTCGCAGTTCCAGGAGAATCCCCCAAGTGTTGGGGTGCAGTATTATGTGTGAGGGAGGCCGACCGTCGTGGAAAACCTTCATGAGGTGTTTCCCCGTTGCCGAGGTCTGTAGTGGCTCTGCGATGTTGCGACTTAACTGCTACCTGATTTGGGGCCGACCTTACGCTATTTCGCGTTGAGAGTGAGGAGGCACGTGAAAGATCGAGTGGTTGAGCCTGGGGGCTGGAGGTTGGGGTCATCTGCCGCTTTACAGATGGACGTCGGGTAACAACTTCCGACTGACTCCGAGATGGGAGGCCGGCAGGAATTGTAATGTTTGCCTCGAGCTCGCCATCTGTATACCCACCGTCCTTGCCCTTTAGCTCTGCAATCGACTTCTTCTTTTTCCGCCTGATGCTTGTGCGTGGACTTGCAGAAGGGGGTCCATCAGTCTGCCATCCGCTGGATGATGCAAGGGCTATAGCTTGTGACCGGCCCTTGCGCAACTTCGCACCTCTTGAGGGCAGAGGGGACTTGAGTGTTTTCTCAGGCTCAGACTCTGAGCTGTCTTGAGATCTGGAAGCCTTCAGATTTGCATCTGTTCGTGTAGACCAGCCCTTCTGGCCTTTTCTGCTTGGACTCGCATGCGGGGAATCTGTAGCGTCAGTCCATTCTACACGAGTTTGGTCCTTGTGCGAGCTCTTGAATAAACCGCGCAAAGAGCCGAAGAAACTCATGGATGGCATATGCTCCCGCTGTTTACCGTTACGCTTGGATGTGCGCTCAACAGCGTCCGGAGATACCTCGTGACGTAGAGATAACCGCTTGGATTGACTGAATGGATCGTTGTCGACGACTTCTAAGGGGCCTTGAGTCTCCTCCTCTTCACTGCTATCGTCTGCACCGCGAGCACTGTCAGGGAATGTGAAGTCGGAGTTTGCTATGACAGCAGGCCCCTCATTTTCATCTATCTCGCTTATGCGTCTGGATAATGGACGGCGGATTCGCTGTGTGCTACTGCTACGTAGGAGGGGATGGATCTCAAGATCTGTTGAACTCTCAGGTAAGGGTGCTTTGACAGGGGACGGAGAACAGACACCAGTGGGCATGGTAAGTTCGGATATGGAATGCGCAGGAGGAATATTGATTGTTACATCTTCATGACCATTGGAGCTTGGATGATCAGGAACCGCGCCTTCTTGGCTAGTTCCATGAGAGGGCCCATCGTGTTGTTGCGAAGCACTTTGAGAAGGTGTGAGGGAGGAAATGTCAGAGGAGTAGGATATGGGGCCCTGTGTAAGACGAGCAGGTAGCGCAGAAGGTATAGGCTTTTGTTTGGGAGTGGTGGACGTGAAGGGCGAATGCGATGGAAATGACGCCAAGGATGGTTCTGGAACTGGATACGTGTGCATCACGCTGGTGAGTAAGTGATCTAAAAAAAAACAGTATAGCGGCACACCCTGAGTATCAGAACTTGAAGCATTGAGAGTCTGTAACGCCCGAAGACCTTCCTTCCCCATTTCACCCCAAACCCACCCACAATCAACAAGAGCCCGACAGCGAGCACCGAGACCTTCTCTGGCTATGCTGACCCGAAGTGCCTCTAACTCCAGCTCTTTAGTAGCCAGATGAGCCTCACATGCGCGCAGCTCCTCTTGAGTTTGCAGAACTTTGGTATTCGAAGAGCCATGTAACGTAGAATTGGTAGAAGGGAGTGATGTGAACGAGGTAGAACCAGATGGTAAAATCAGTGATAAGCGAGGATCCCGTGTGGTCTTGGAGGATTTGGAAACTTTGATCAGCCGGGTTACGCTGAAAAAAGGTTAGCGGAGAGCTGGTGGAGAAAGAGTTGGGACGAACAGAATTTCCCTGTCACGGAGAATGGCTGCTATGTCTTCCTCGAGCTTTATCAAGTGGGCAAGTTGATCGCGCCAGTTCTCGACCGCCTTATTGTAAAGCTGAAGAGCATCGTCCGCGCCGGAGAGGATATCAACAATGGTGGCAATAGTTTGCGCTAAAGAGATAGAAGAACTACTAGGTATGGCTGAAGGTGAGGCAGCCGCGAATGCAGAAAGGGATGCGAGAGCAGCATGTGATATAGGGAAAAGAGCGGATAAATGTTTCGTATACTCCTTTTCGTGTGCTATGAGGTTGGACAGGAGACGAGAGTCCGGAGGACGGTGGACCATCAGTTAAAGACACGACAATGTATGATCGATTAGGTCGTGCTCGACGTTGTAGTGCACTGCGGTCAACGGCGAAGAGAAATATTTGGATAACAATGTTTCCAACGAGGCCACCAAGCAGTGGGCTACAAGGCTGTGCGCACCAAACGTCGTAGACTCGTCACTACCTGCGCGTGACCAGTAACATTGAATATTGAACCGCCGCTACTATGTAGGCGTACTACTTACACTTACAGCTACCGTTTAGTACTCCGGACGCTCCGAGTTAAAAATACATCCACATACATGGCCTTCCATCGACGTGTCCGATGCGTGAGTGTTAATTGATTGGTGACTTGGTCCATTCTCAGTCTTCGTCCCTTAATGGGGCAGTTTTATTGTCTCATAGATGTTCAGTCCTATTATTTATGATATCTTTTTTCAGTCATATCATTCAGGTGTTCGTATGGGTCCTTTCTTGTTTGATCAGTTGGCAGACCTACGCAATTTGTTGCTACAACATATCTACTTTACGGTGAGTGCATGTCTTCGGACACGTATTCTAAATATCGCGGTCGTACAGCGTGTTGTGAAGTTGCAGGTTTCACCGTTTCAGTTCCTCTTCGGATCTAGTTGATTCCATTTTAGATCAGTTGCTCTCGGCAAACCCATCTGTCGTATCAGGTGCTGATTTTGTGGACACTTGTGAAGAGAATTTGTAGTGATTTAGTATGTAGTCGGTTGTCTGCGTGCTGCTCTCCGCCTAAACGGTGTTCGACTTTGAAGTACTTTATGCTTATGCTGAAATCAGGATACGCAATGCACTACGTTCCTTGTATGCGACAGTCTACAGATGCCTTGTTAATACACTAGGTTGCCCATGCAAGTATTGCGTATCATTATCTGCTCCGTTAGCACAAGCAATCCAGGTATGACTAGTGTCTGTTTGACTGAACGAGAATGCTGCTTATGATGGTAGTCGTCTACCGGGAACATCATCATATTGCATAGATATCTTTCATATTAATACATCTGCTCCAAAGAAAATATTCAGAAAGGACAAGAAGCCTAGCGGGAACGTGAAGTGGATTGTCATAGACGCGGGAAGAACCTTGCGAGAACCGCAAAGCAGCTAGCGTGTGGAGCATGTGCGATGACTAGCGGGGCAGGAGGTCCAGTACTACTTCTGATCTGCAAGGTTACTAAGGTAGTTCCACCGACTGCATTGGATGTCCCTGGTGGTGGTGTGTTGCTGTTTGATGCTCCAGCGTGAGAGGTGTAGGTTATATTGCGAGGAGGACGTTGTGACTTCAGCCGCCTGTCCCTTTTTGCAGTGTGGGCATTAGCGGTGCGCTGCGAGACAATGTCAGCATTACGATGTGGATGTCGAAAGGTCGGGAAAACTTACATGTTTGCCTCGTGTGGCGGAGACGTCCACAGGGGGGATATTGCTTGGGCGAGGAGCATGGCCCTGGGGAGTGGAGGAGCGAGAGAATAGACGATTCATCATGTTTTTGATTCCGGATCCCTCAGCATGGCGCGTGGCGTCGGCGTGATTGTTGCATTCAGGTGAAGAATGTGGATCAAACTATCAAAGGATGGTGAGCTGACGATCGTACAAGACCTTCCATGCGACTGCCACAAGTGTTGTAAAGTGAGTCCTGATAAGCAGGGCTACTCCTGTGGTGGTGTGAGCCTGTCTTCCCATGCTGCCTCTGGAGTTCGAGTGTTCATGTGCTTGTCTAGCATTTTATGCACAGGAGTCTCTGGCCGGGAACGCTGTGACCTAGTATCAATTTGAATATGGCACTGAGTCTGGCTCGATTTTGATAACACATCATCATAATCTAGAGTTATCAAGACTGACCGATGTGTCATGGCACGTTTACGACAACGTCTTAAACGCCAGTAGTCCTGTGGAGTAGTAGAGGATGCCCGGCAGTGCAGTTTGTATTCGGGGTGTGATTTACTGATGATGTGAGAAACGACACTGACAGAAGTAGAGCCTCGAGTGCAAATGGCTCGCAAGGCGCGAGGAGTGGGAAAACAATCTCCTGGCTCCTCCTCGCTGGAGGTTCTATGAAATACTAGTGCACGACAATCCTAAAGACCTGAACAGGATCTAAGGGGAGGCCGCCGTGTGGAGGTAAGCCTTCAGGCAGGTTACTACCTACAACGAAACTTACCCTAAAAGGCCGTTGGTACCTTTTACAAGTGGTGCCAAGGGTGAGCAGGTGGTTGACACCGACCGTCCTAAACGCAGCTCAGCGATTCGACTAAGAGATGAGGATGGAGAGAAATTCCTCTGCAAACCGCCTATTTGCGTGTCACTTCATGAAAAGATGCCACGGACTCACGGAGCATGAGGCGGCATCCGGTTTGTCCCTGAGAATACAATGAAAGTGTTTGGTTGCACCATACACTAATCGTGTACAAAAGCCGTGCTCCTCGTTTCAGCCTAGAAAACACCATCAATACTCCACCATGAAATTCACTTCACTCACCACTATTGTCATTTCTGCCGCATCAATGGTTGGAATAGCTATCGCATCTGAAGACTCCATTATCATAATTCCCCAGGGCCCTCCCGAGGGCCTACCCTGTAGCCCCAAGGGTGAACACTCTTGCAGCCTACGTGCAGACCTCAGAACGCGTACTTACAGTTTATCCACAGGTACAGTACAATGCTCGAAGGGCTACCCAAGTTACAACGACAACTACGATTTCGCGTTTTACTGCGGGGATTACCTGACGATCGAAAGAGACATGCCATGCTCCTGCCACAACTGTTGTGAAGTGAGTCATAATAAACAGGGCTACGAGTGCAAGGATGTGAGCTTGTCTTCCCATGATGCCTCTGGAGTCCGAGTGTTAATTTGCTTGTCTAGTAAGCACAAGACTCTCTGGCCGGGAACGCTGTGACCTAGTATCAATTTGGCACTGAGTCTGGCTAGACTGATATTACATAATCATAATCTAACCGATGTGTCACGGCACGTTGACGACAACGTCTTGAACACCAGTAGTCCTGTGGAGTAGTAGAGGATGAATGACACAATTCCCGGCAGTGCAGTTTGTATTAGGGGTGTGATGTGCGCTGTAATGATATAAGTATTTCGATGATTCTTCATAACAGACAGTGACATGGAAGTGTTCGTTTGGTTAATGCTGAAGGGACGAATGAAGAGGCCAGAGGGTTAGCAGGTCAACGATAGACATTGAAATTTAGCAAGCAGTGGACGTAGCATTCGTGTTGGTCGTGGAGGCAAGACAGAATATAACAAAGGTCAGTGCTAGGGGCTCCTCAGGGTCTTACATACGCAATTGCTCGTGCTTTGAGGTGACGCAACTTCCGGGAACCGGACGAGGACTAGGGACGGGTAGTGTTATGGGCAGAGCTCTGCCATTCTGCCACGTGGCAGGGCAGAACCTCCGAGACATAAGGTAGCAGGACTCCTGCATATGCACAACCAGTTCAGTGTATGATAGCATCAATTGAGAAGCTTTAAGACTCTCTAAAACGGCTACGAAGTCCGGAGGCCAGCGAGCTCTGAACGCGCATTGATGTTTCGAGCACCTCACGTGCTAGCCTTCGGTATCATATATCCACCTTGGGAATAGCAAGTCAGCGCAATGTCACGCTCGTCGCTCACATACATACAAACAAACTTTCAGGCAGTTATACAGAGATTGCCAAGCAACCCAGATCGACTTTGCATTTTGTTTCTTCACAACAGTCTCTCCGGTGAGAATGGTCCTAAATTGATCTTGCTTGATGAGATTGATGCCGAGGTTGCTCGACTCAAAGATATTCGTAACGCAGAAAAAGTGATGGGCATGGAGTTTGCCTCAGACTGGGACATAAATGGAAAGGAATTTTTATAAGAAAGAGCACTCGAAACGAAGATGGGAAGATTCTATGTTGCTATCGAGTGGTAGCACGATCTTCGCAAAACATGGTTCTGCCAGGTTCTGCCGCCAGGACTACCTTAGAATAGTTCTGCCCACAACATTAGCCCGGTCTGGTCACTCATTTGCGTGTCACTGCGTAAAAGAAAGTGAAGGAATGCCGCAGAGCATGAGGGAGTATCCGGTTTGTCCCTGAGCATACGACAATAAAAGTGGTTGGTTGCACCATACACTAATTGTGTATAAAAGTCACTCTACTCGTTTCGGCTCAGACAACTCCACCATGAAATTTACTTCACTCACCACCATTGTCATTTCTGCCACAACAATGGCTGGAGTAGCTATCGAATCCGAAGACATGACGGTAACACCCGTGGGCCAATCCTGCGACTCCAAGTGTGAGCACTCTTGCTGCCTACGTGCAGACCTTAGACTGTGTACTTACGGTTTATCCACAGATCCAGTGCAGTGCTCGGCGGACCCCAAAGGTTGGAACAACAAGAATGATTTCGGGTTTTACTGTAGCCCTACAGGCATGATCCTATCAGTCACACCATGCGACTGTAAAGACTGCTGTACCGTGATTGATGATGGAAATAATTTCGTCTGTCATCATGAGGTTCTGTCTTTCGCTGCTGCCTTTCAAGTCCGAGTGCTAATGTGATTGATTAACAGCCTGGGCGTAAAGGACATCTGTGATGTAGAATCAATATTAATTACCTTGGTCGTACAAGGTCACTCTCCGATGACAATTTTGTGGTTGTGGTGTTCCACAACGATTCAGATACACCCGTGCGAAAAGCTAAATAATTATCATAAACATTCACTGGTGCAGTTTGACTCAACGCCAACATGATACTCCTTTGTTCTTATCGTTCTCCAGTAGCAACATGTCAGGACCTCTCACATCACAGAATTCCCCAATGTTATCGCCAGATACAGTTCCAGTCGCTCGTCATACCTCACAATCTGATTATCGCACGGGGGATCTGAAACTAGGCCGCATTGCGGTTCTCGCTGATTTGGGAAGGTATCTGCAGGTTCCATTCAATTGCCTGGTGAAATGTGTTGGTGCCGGACCCTCTCAGCCGGATCTGCAGCGGATACGCAACAACTTGACAAAGTGCGAGATTCTAAGCACATTTTGTTAAATAGGATGGGGTTAGCCCAAGGTTATGCCTAACTCACATGTGCAATTTCACACATTTCTGGCATTTCTCAAAATGTGCAAACCAAGTGGTATCCATTTTACACATTTTGAGATAGGTCAAAAATGTGTGAAACAAAGGGTGTCCATTTTGCACATTTTGAGAAATGTCAAAAATGTGCAAAACAAAGGGTGTCCATTTTGCACATTTTGAGAAATGTCAAAAATGTGCAAAACAAGGGGTGGTCCATTTGCACATTTCTGGCATTTCTCAAAATGTGCGAAACAAAGGGTGGTCATTTTACACATTTTGAGAAATGTCAAAAATGTGCAAAACAAAGGGTGGTCATTTTGCACATTTTGAGAAATGTCAAAAATGTGCAAAACAAGGGGTGGTCCATTTTGCACATTTTGAGAAATGTCAAAAATGTGCAAAACAAGGGGTGGTCCATTTTGCACATTTTGAGAAATGTCAAAAATGTGCGAAACAAAGGGTGTCACTTTTGCACATTTTGAGAAATGTCAAAAATGTGCAAAACAAGGGGTGGTCCATTTGCACATTTCTGGCATTTCTCAAAATGTGCGAAACAAAGGGTGTCCATTTTGCACATTTTGAGAAATGTCAAAAATGTGCAAAACAAGGGGTGGTCCATTTTGCACATTTTGAGAAATGTCAAAAATGTGCGAAACAAAGGGTGTCCATTTTGCACATTTTGAGAAATGTCAAAAATGTGCAAAACAAGGGGTGGTCCATTTTGCACATTTTGAGAAATGTCAAAAATGTGCGAAACAAAGGGTGTCACTTTTGCACATTTTGAGAAATGTCAAAAATGTGCAAAACAAGGGGTGGTCCATTTTGCACATTTTGAGAAATGTCAAAAATGTGCAAAACAAGGGGTGGTCCATTTTGCACATTTTGAGAAATGTCAAAAATGTGCGAAACAAAGGGTGTCACTTTTGCACATTTTGAGAAATGTCAAAAATGTGCAAAACAAGGGGTGGTCCATTTTGCACATTTTGAGAAATGTCAAAAATGTGCAAAACAAAGGGTGTCCATTTTGCACATTTTGAGAAATGTCAAAAATGTGCAAAACAAGGGGTGGTCCATTTTGCACATTTTGAGAAATGTCAAAAATGTGCGAAACAAAGGGTGTCACTTTTGCACATTTTGAGAAATGTCAAAAATGTGCAAAACAAGGGGTGGTCCATTTTGCACATTTTGAGAAATGTCAAAAATGTGCAAAACAAGGGGTGGTCCATTTTGCACATTTTGAGAAATGTCAAAAATGTGCGAAACAAAGGGTGGTCACTTTTGCACATTTTGAGAAATGTCAAAAATGTGCAAAACAAAGGGTGTCCATTTTGCACATTTTGAGAAATGTCAAAAATGTGCAAAACAAGGGGTGGTCCATTTGCACATTTCTGGCATTTCTCAAAATGTGCGAAACAAAGGGTGGTCATTTTACACATTTTGAGAAATGTCAAAAATGTGCAAAACAAGGGGTGGTCCATTTTGCACATTTTGAGAAATGTCAAAAATGTGCGAAACAAAGGGTGTCACTTTTGCACATTTTGAGAAATGTCAAAAATGTGCAAAACAAGGGGTGGTCCATTTGCACATTTCTGGCATTTCTCAAAATGTGCGAAACAGGGGGTGGTCATTTTCCCCATTCGCCTATTTCTCAAAGTGTGTAAAACAGGGGGTGGTCATTTTACACATTTTCAGAAATGTCAAAAATGTGCGAAACAAAGGGGGTCCATTTTGCACATTTTGAGATATGTCAAAAATGTGCATATCAGGAGCGTAAAAAGGAAGCAACAGATGCACCGGAAGATCATCCAGAAGCCAAATGCCATGTGATTAACAGTTCAACTGCTATTGATATTGCACACCCAGAAGGAAAAGATAGTGCCCAGGCTACTAGTAGTGGCTCAGCAGCAAACATACCTATGATTATAGTTACTGAGGTACAGTTGAAGGAATTAATGAGACCACCAGCAGGCACATTAGTGTTACAAGAACATCTAGATGCTTGGGCCCCTACCATTTTTCTCCTCATCCTCCTCATATCAGCCCTCGCGTCATACCCTTACCCCGACCTCACCCTCGTCATTTTTGTCATTCTCGCATTCCCTTTCGCCCTCTACCTGTCGCTCCAGCAGAGCCAGTACATTTGGCCGGATCCTTTTGCTGACGAAGCATACCCATGCTCCATTCCTCCACCTGACTGATCCTGTGGACAGTCCCCTTGCCCTTACCGTCCGGACAGTAACCTATGATATGATGCACGACGCATCCCCTTTGCCCTTTTCCCTTTCTTGATCTCTGACTCAGTGTGCAGTCGCACATGCGACTTATACTTAGATCCGCAGCTGCACGATCGTGCCCCTGCGCGTTTCACTTCTTATTTCGACCTGTGACTCACTTTCTTATTTAGCACGTTCTGCCTCGCCCGTGTCTCAACGCGAACGTGCTTTCCTTTTATGGTTACACCCTTTACTGTTTGCCTCTCTTGGTAGTACGAGTTATCACCCACTAATACGTCTCCTGTCCTCTATATAAACTCGCTACCATGTACTGTATTCCCTAACTTGAATCTACTTGGTTCTTGACCTCCTACTCTCACCAGAGTGATCCTTTCTGCCTAGCCAGCAGTCTATATTCTATCTTCTTATCTGCTCTTTGCGGATAAGCCTATAGTCTCGATCTTTACTCATCGACTTCGTCGACGAGCAAAGCCCCTGTTAACTAGTCAGACTTCTGTCCTTCTAATTAACGACGATCTTACGATTAACCTTTGGGTGTCATAAGCCTTGGCAGATACAGCTCATCGTCTAGCACCCGCTTGACGTAAGCTACCCGATTTGGACATAGGCGTCAAATCTTACTTGCCGAAACTCACCAAGTAAGACCCCTAACCTTGGGCAAGCCCAAGGATGTCCTCGACCATTGACAACACATGCTCTGTTTGAGTGTCGCCGACAGATACCATCCAAGTCATAACAATTAGAGAGGGTATTAAGGCAGAGGAGAGAATGAATTGGATTGAGCAATGGATTTGTTGATCAATGCCAATTATCATGGTGTTGGGTGTCATCAGAAGGTATTTAATATACAATTTGACAATGGATCAGCAGGTGTGACTTTCCTATAGCTATACTATATTAATAATTGTAATAATATTTTATGTGTGACCCTTCAGATGCAGAAGGCTATTCACGCTATGCTCCCATAATTCCTAAAGTCTGCTGTGACATCCATCAACCCCTTTGTTCACCTTATCTTCACTGACTCAACCTTTTGACCAGAACACAGCCATTGTTCCAGATGATGTGACTCTCTTTCCTGACAAGGAAGTCTGGTGCTGTGATTGGACAAAGTTTTTCATAAGTACTCTATTTCTTTTGGGCTCTTTCGGTGATTCTGACTTCCTTTTCTAGGAAAACTTCTCTTCTTGCCAGTGGGAAGCCGAGGAAAAGGGTGTCCTTCTTCCGATGTCTGGCAAAATCACTGTGAAGGGGAGATACTTGTGTCTCCGCCTTCCCAAAGGTCCAGGAGGTGATTTGGCTCATGAAGGAGGAGACCGCTGAGTAGGCCAAAGAGAAAACTGTGGAGGAAAAACGGAAGAGATTGGAAAATGAGGAGGCAATGAAGAAGATTGTTGAGGAAGAGGTCACTCCACTGGAGGAGGAGGCTGCCAGAGGTGAAGATGGTAATGCAGAAGCTTTGGGTGATTGGGTTGTTTGCCCTAAGGTGGATCTTTCCTTTCCCTTTCATATGTACTTAACATTTTTCCTCAGATGGTGTAGAGATTCGCACTACTACAGGCTTACAATGTGTCATAATTCAGTTCATATCACTTGGGTTCACAGCACCAACTTGCAACATTATTCCCTAGCCTTTTCCCAGCTATTTCTATATTAGGCGACACTTTCCCATGCACATGGTCCTCATGCGACTTTCCCGCGCTTTCATCGCTCTATCATCCAGGAGTATCCATCCACTGTCCAGCAAGTCTCACTGGTATGTATTTTTGCATTTTAGTCAATATGGCACCATATTAGAGCATGGACCCTGACTTACATACTTTATTACATCCATTATCTCACACTCGGCTCACTCAGCAAGACACATATATAGGTCCGCATTTTTCACTCTTTACTACATTACACCACACCTCACCTTACCTTATTGGAGTTTCCCTATCATGTCCATAGCTAGAGTCAGAGGTTATTAGCAGTCCTTTAGTAGTCATTCATTGAGCCCTTGCTTATTGCATTTCGCATTTTCGCTATTTCACATTTCGCGTTCACGCACTTTGTGCACACATCGCTCGCTTTGCACAGCTGCCACACGACTGTGGATTTGTCTTCCTTGCTTCCCCTTAGATCAAACACGCTCGTCCCTGCAAGTATAGCACCCTAGGCATCACACTAGACCACTATATCAGCTTCTTGTGTCCTTCCCTTGGATTTACCATTTGACCAGGAGCTGAGTAGATTCACCTTCAACTGGAGCCCACTGCGAGGGGAACAGTTGACAAGTCTGCTATCTGCGTTTTTGCTTGTTTCACATCTTGCACCTTCACATT